CATTCAAAGTTCTATTAAAATTTGACTCTTCAAAATGGAGCGAACAAACGAAGATGGTATTTGATCCAATGTTTATATGTTCAGCAGTCCAATAATTTCCTACCATTCTTTCTTTCTATTTTCAATTGTAGGTAAACTTTAAAAATAATAATAATGAAATAATAAAAACCACGTAGCGAATTGTTGTAATAACAGAATATCGATAATATGTCTGCTTACAAGAATAACACTATCACTAGGCAATCTAAAGTAAACAAAGCAAAATTCGACAAGACTTATGAATAATCTACTTAAATGAGTCCAATTACAAGAGATATTTGGACTATTGTATGATTTATAGACAAAATACCAACATATGCCAGTGTAATGTAACATTCGGTTGATTTCCGCCTTTTCTACTGCCGCACCCCTTAATCCCGCAGCTACGCATTTTAATCAATACATAATTGTTCTCACTGCCAATATTTTTGTCCATTTCATTACAATTTATGCGAATAATTCAAAAAAACATTTGGCCAAACATTGGTTTTTGACATTTGATGTACTTCCCTTTGACAACCGGAAACGGTTATCAAAGGGTACTTCAAAAATGGTAAAATGAGGACAGTTGGCATTTAAGATGACGTTACATATTTTCGATTCCCGTGTTTGACATAAATCAATGTAATGCTATCTCTTTTGGATTACGACGGCACGCAGTAGCTCAACAAAGACAATAAAACGTTTATGTTTTCAACGTTTAAATCTTAGACTATGGAAACTAAAGAACATGTTATGGTGACATATGTAAATCAGACGTTATTTATATATGATGCATTTCGACGTCGAAAACATAAACATGTTATTGTCTTTGTTTAACTATTGCGTGCCGTCTTAAGCCAAAAGAGATAGCATTACATTGGTCTGTGTCAACACGGGAATCGAAAATACGTAACGTCATCTTAAATGCCAACCGTGTCCATTTCGCAATACATGAGGTACATGATACGGTTGTGAAAACGAAGTACATCAAATGTCAAAACAAATGTTTTTCCAGGTGTTTTATTGAATTATTCGCATGTATTGTAACAAAATGGACCAAAATATTGACAGTGAGAACAATTAAGTATTAATAAAAATTCGTCACTGCAGCATTACGGGATGTGGCATTTGAAAAAGCGAAGATCGACCGAATGTAACATTGTACAGGTACCTGTTTTTTTCTGTCTATAAATCACACAAAAGCCCAAATATCTCATGTAATTAGACATATTAAGTAGTTTATTCATAAATCTTGCCAAATTTTGCTTTGGTTTCTTCAGATTGGCCGTTTGTTTGTATATTTTGATAATTGTTGTTAATGATTATTTTGAGATAGTGTTGTTGATGGAAGCGTACATATTATCGATATACTCACTACGAGGTTTTTATTATTTTAATATTGTTATTTTTACTATTTCAAGTTTACCTACAAATAAAAAAACAAAATAGAATGGTTGGAAATCATACATTGAATCAAAGACCATCTTCATTCATTTGAAGAGTCAAATTTTAACATAACTTTGAATGTAACTAGATTGAGTGATAATGCAATTCCATCATTATGTTTATTGGTAAATAATTTTATATTTAATTTAGATTAAACACGACTCATTTACAAGGCATTCTCAGTTCCTGAAAACAAAATTATCCACTAGTTTCCGATTTTTTCCCAGTGACAACTCTAACTACTAAAAATTCTTGTTTTATAAAGCCAGCAATACAAAGACCATGTTGGCTTAACGTTGCCAGGTGAAGGCAAATACCAACGTATAGACAGCCTATTTGCCTTGCCTTGCCTTACCTTGCCTTGCCATCGTTCGGTGTCACTCGCCTAGCTGACCGAGTGAAGGCGAGCGCTAACGTGTATAGAGCTCGTTTGATGTGGCTTGTCACAACTCGCAGTAGCTAGTGACTACTTGTCTCACTTCGGAGAAGTGTCGATTTTAGTAAGTAAATACAATAGTAGTAAATTGACATTGTATAATCACACATTTGCATGCTATTTAATATATGCGAAACATGTTTATACTAACGCTGTCTCTTGTTACATTTCCTGTTATACCATGTTTCAAGCAAATAAACGTATGATAATAACATTATTATTGATAATATAACTACTTTCATTTATTTACAAAAATAAATGGAAGTATTAAAGATTCACTTAAATCAGTCACTGATATTAATTCTATACCAATGCATGAATACAAAAAAGCTTACACTATTCGAAATCTGTTTAAAAATTTCTCTATGAAAATAAGAATCTTGAGGTTGTAAATGTATAGGATTTATATTTTAAAGATTTCTCTTTTTTAAATACTCTGAAATTATAATATTATTTTTTTCTGTGTAAATTCACTTTTCGTAGGTAATATTTGAGTATTTGTGAACGCAAAACAATAAATTCAAAATTTCATGTGACATTCCCAGATATTGTCATAATAACCTAAAATATTCCCAAATGGAATATTGATCTACTTTAATCAAATGTTTGTATGTCGATAATGACTTATCGATAGATTATGGTACGACACTAAAGAAATCTACTTTGTTCGTTAAATTTTTGATATGCACGTTCATTACGTAGTTAGGGCAGCTCCTTTGCTTTATTTTTTTCCCTCCTCTAAGGTCTAAATGCATCATATACATATAACGTCTGATTTATATATGTCAATATAACATGTCCTTTGGTTTCCATAGTATAAGATCGAATATTACTTCTTTGACACAGTAATTGTTTCGGACGGAGAACGAAAGTAGACCTTGGATATGTTTAATAGGTTCGATTTGAACTCTAAGACAAATTTTATTCCAAACGTTTCATCAAACCAATGTATTCCTTTAAATTGAGCACCACCTGCGCGTCCCTTTAACAAAACACAAAATACTTTTGTTGGTTGCTGAAGCTCATTTCTCAACTGCTTTTATGCTGGGGCCTTTACACTGTACCCAGTTTGACTATGATAACATGTCTGTTTTACGTAATATTTCAGTAAACGTTGGAAACTTGACCCCGATTATTGCTCAAACATGTACTCTGGATCAAAACCGTTTTCAGAGCCTGAACTTGCAGGTGTACGGGTAAGTACCAAGTTCCCGATGGCTCTATTTAATTTATTCAGAGGTATAAGATACAAAAGCCAAATTTCGAGAGAAGTCGGTTAGTTAGCTATAGGTATTAGATCACAACTGTGAACCAAGGCCTAAAATGGATAACCTAGTGAAGCCTCCTTTCACTCGCCCTGAGTAGGTATTACAAAGATTCCTTTACTATTTAAGCCTGCACAATTGTGGAACGAACTCCCGTCTGAAGTCCGAAATTCTAAATCGCTCCCTATTCTCAAAACCGGATTACGTAAATATCTTCTAACACGGTCTGCAACATGTATATATTTATTAGTAAGTATAAGGTTATTTAGGTACATTTTTATACACCTACATGTATTTATGTAGGTATTTATTATATTTGATAAATCATATTTCAGTTTTTTATTTTTTATTTATACAATTCGATTTTATTTATACATTGGCACACTACGTCTCTCGCTCCGATTACCTATCCTCCACCTCAAAGGTTATCTGGAAGAGATGGAAGAGATCGCTTTTGGCGATAAGACCTCCATTGCCATGTACTGTTCTTGTTCGTTTTCTCGTTCGATTACGTATATATATTTTGTTCCTTTATTTGTTTCGCTAAAGGAGTCTACAGACCGAACCCGTCGACCCTGGTAGTGTTGAGTTACTCATACACGAGGCATCTCGTTTGTACCACTCGCTCGGTTAGTTTGTCACAACACCTCATATCATAGCCTCATGTCACAACCTCACTCATGTCACACTGCTTCGAATCCAACAAATGCAACAATGATTGGTCCTGCACTGCTCGCTTTTTAGCTGATTTTACATCATATGATCATACTATCATATTACTAAATAAAATTAGCATTTCTTTATACTACATCATAACACTTAAGTTATCCGATTGATTGATACCATCAAGTTATAAAAATGTGCTTAATATTCCCTGTCTGTGGAGTCATTGCCATAGGTGCAAACATCCTCACCTCACTTGAAGTAGGACATTGTACCGCCTCATTTTTTCAAATGAGGTACTCCCTCAAACTCATTTTTTTCTCATTTCATGTCCTACCCAACACTAGACTCGGGTGGGAGATGGTGTCGGCGGCCTTGTTTCTAGAATCATGTCATAGGATTAGATTAGAAATAAGGCCGCCGACACCAAACCGCTGTGTCGCCGAGTCGGCGGGTTCGGTCTGTAAACACCTTTATTTATTATTTATTTGAATTTAAGAAAAGGGGAGTACAATATATTTAAATAAACATAGTCCTACAAAACTGTATATTCAGTTTGACTGCAGGATCGAAATGAACCTACATTTCCAGCCTCTCTTGCAAACAGGCTCTGGTTCAACTCCAGCCATCCGGCTGAATTTTTCTTTGTATTTGTTCCATCTTTATATCAATAATAACAAAGGAGTCTACCCGCACGACCTACCGTTACTTTCCTGTATACGTCGGCGAACCCTAGGCAACAATCGGCGAGCACCTTACGCAGATTGGCAAATCCTTTCATAATGGCAAGCGTTATAGTGTATGCCATCAATACGATAAGAAGATTTTTTTTTATAAAACCAAGTGACGGGACGACCAAGTCTTGCCCTGGTGGTAAACTCAAAGCTTGAAATCAGAAAGATCTACGGGGCATTGCCACTGCGCCCGTCACCTTGAGACATAAATTGACAAGTGTCACGTGCCGGTAATTTCACCAGCACCCTTACCCTTCAAGACCGGAACACAGTAATGCTCACATTACTGCTTGGCGGCAGAAATGAATAAGGTGTCAGTACTTCCCTGGACGAAGTCCCTGAAGTCATAAATAAATTTGTAATGTTGGTTTTTTTACTTATTTGCTTTAGTCCGCTGACTCTACCATTTTCATAACATTAACCTCAGAGCTAAGTCCAAACCCATGGTACCATGATTTCGTTTAACCAAGGTAAACGACTCTTTTATGAGGAACTGTATACGTTATTACAATAAGATTCCGGAGCATATATTATTAAGATTATAATAATAATAACGCACACACTCAACTTAGCCCCGCACTAGAGAAACCCTGGGTGGCATGGACACACACAAAGACAACCACAAATTACACCAAAACTCACGAGAGAAATAATGTAGGCCATACAAATATTTCTCCCGGGCCGGGAATCGAACCTGGGACCTCTGCGTTGGCAGTTAAGATTAACATTTCCCAAGCTTAAAAACTAACTACATTAAAAATATTTTGATTGAAAAGTCATATTAGAAAAATGAAGACTACGTGTTAGATAAAGATGTATGGAAAACGACATGGCTCTGGATTCCACACTATTTGATTCAAAGTGTATTCCATAGCATTTATGTTTATTTAAAAAGAGCAATCCCTAGAGTTTCTTGCTCGTTTTTCTCTGGGAAGTCAGGGTATTAAACGAGCAGTAGCTTAAATGTGACGTTTTCTGGTGTACATTTATTTTACCTATGGAATAAATGATTCTCTGACTTTGACTCATGCTGACTGTGCGTTGCCATTTTAATTTCGTTCCGATTACTTACCAATTTTACCAAACACAAGACATTTTGTAAATTCCGACATGCCGCGAATTTAACTATCTATGTCCGATGACAGTTTGCCAAATTAATGTCTTCCTTCCTCCTCTAAATTTAGAACCTGATACAAGATCTAAAAGATAAAAACCTAGAGATGGCGTACGTGGACATCCATTCTTTCGGCCAGAGAATCGGATACCCTTGGGGCTACACACATACACCCTCCAAGAAGGCGAAAACACTTAAATACATCGCTGCTGGAATGTCAGAGGTACACATCTAAGGATTATATAGCACCCTTTGTGTAATAAGGCCACAACTAGTCAGTGTATGTGACATTTTATAATTTAGTGCTGGCATTGACCTACCAATGAGTGCTGGGAACACATTGCGTTTTCCAGCAAATACTGAGTTTGTGACCCTTTTGTTACCACGGCTGACACCACACAAAGTATCTATAAAGGTTGTGGTCTTTTTACTGTTTGTGTGAATAGTTCGTGTTTTAATTTAACCTATTTTTTGTTTTTCTTTTGTTTTGTTTCGTTTTCTTTTTTCTTTCTTTTATTTATTTGTCATTTCTATTTTCTTTTGTTTCTTCTTTCTAATTGCAAAATTATAACTTTGGAGAAATAAGGTTTAAAGATTCTACGAAACAAATTACTTAGTCGTTAACTTTTATACTTCAAGAGGAGAGTTATAAAACGTCACATGTACATAATTAATTGTTTAATGTCGTTCGTATTATTTTAACCGATTTTTATATGACAAAAGCACATTCCACGTATTTCATATGACTTTATTAAATCGTGGGTACAATACCTAATATGTGTTCAGAGAAAGATCCAGAAAAAGGTGTAATACACGTGAGAGCGGAAAGAACTGGCCGCCAAGTCTCCTAATTTTAGGTAAATCATCTACGTTTGGTGTTCTATTAAATGTTAACAGTAGTAGCTTATCAGTCACTAACAATGGAGCTCTAATAATAATAATCATAGTAATAATAATATCGCACACACTCATAGCCCCGCACCGCACTAGGTAAACCTTGTATTGCGGGTGCCATAGACGCAAACATAGGCAACTATAAATTACACCCAAACTTACGAGAGAAATAAATGTAGACCATGCAAATATTTCTCCCGGCACAGGAATCGAACCCGGGACCTCTACTTAGCAGACCAGCATGGTAACCGTTCGGTCATGGAGGCAGATATAGTTACGAAGCCTTCTTTTAATATCAAGTGACGGGACGATCAAGTCGTACGCCTGATGGTAAGCTACACGCCTGTCCATAACAGTTGCAGTGCCACTCAGAGCACTGCCACTGCGCCCGTCACCCTGAGACATGAGTTGACAAGTCCCATGTGCCTGTAATTTCACCAGCACCCTTTCCCTTCGAAACCCGAACTTAGTAATGTTCACATTACTGCTTGGCGGCAGAAATAGATAAGGTGGCAGTACCACCCTGGACGAACTCTTTCACAAGGAGCTCTACTGCAACCACATCTGTGACTGCAACTTGATATAGCTATTCAACTGCCGTGGATATTTTTTAGTATCTATTCTCTTCAATGGCGCGAGTCGATGATATCCTAGGTGTAGTCTACTAATTTATATATGTATATTTAATTTAAATACTAAATTGCAGATTAAATGAGAAAAAAATTAAGAGATGCATAGTAATTTCCATGGTAATTTTAGAAGGCAACGTCGATCGTTATGTGACACACACGGATTTGTATATTAAATTGGACCGCGCATTAAGTTAATGAAACGAGCTGAGTAATAGGCTTCAAAGTAGTAATGTGTATCTTGCTAATGGCGTGTTCATTCATGTTTAAGGGTCGTATTCCAGAACTCTACTCAATGCTCAAGTCAGGATCTGAGTATGATTTCAAGCACTGGAAATATGACCCTAATGACAGGGATTTGAGTATGATTTCGAGTGCTTTAAAACATACTCAAATCCTTACTTGAGCATTGAGTAGAGTTCCAGAACTACTCAATGCTCAAGTCAGGATCTGAGTATGATTTCAATTGCAATCCTGACTTGAGCATTGAGTAGAGTTCTAGAATACAACCCTCAGACAGCCATATTGTTTTTAACTTTTTAATTTTTACAGAAAATGTGGCCGTTTGTTGATGACCAAAACTACTAATATTATTTCATAATACAAATTAGTATACTTATTTGATATGCTACTACTTATTAGAAGGTTACTACTGAACCGATTTCGATGATTATTTTTTTGTTGGAAAGAAGGTACCTCCGCATTGGTCCCATTTAAATTTAAAGAAAATATTCCACCTCTAAGGGTGGCAAACTAGGGGTGATTCCGGTTTAGCGCACTCTCCGTTAACCGATTTCAACAGAACTCTGCAAACAGATGTAATTCTAATAAAAAAGCCGATGAGGAAACTTTTGGAGTCGGCTTTTTTAAAGAAAAAACTTTTAATTATTAAATTAACGTGTTGAGTAGTTAGGCTCGCCGTAGACCCCCGGTGCCCATTACACGTACCCTTTAGGGGTCCATGGACCACAGGTTAAGAAACCCTTCTAGAAGAAACGTTTATAAACGTTTGCATTAATGTACCTATGAAAAAAATGTGTGCCACAACGCATCAATCGGCAAAACACGATGCTCGCACGTATGGGTTAATATTGGTTTTACGTCATCTAAATTAGTCCTTGTTTATGCTGTCAATTCTTTTTTTTTATGTGCAATATGACGAGGGGTTGGTTTTGTTAGCCTATTTAAAGTGAATATAGCACTCTATGCTTACCCAACACTGGCAGATGTATATGTACATATGTACGTGTAAACTTAGAACAGTTCTGTAATAACAAAAATTATTTCAGGCAGCGTTCAATGCAACAAAACTCAAATACGAATATGATGCAATATCCAATCTATACCCTGTTACTGAACGCTTATATGGAGTCAGCGTCGACTGGGTTCACTCCTTAGGTGTCACGAGGAGCTTCCTCATAGAATGCAGGGACAATGGAACCCGGGGATTCGTAGTCGGGGAAGACCAGATAAAAGTGAACGGTATAGAAATATTAGCAGCCGTGAGGTTTCTAGCCAAAGACATGGGATCCCCGAAGTCATGAGTAATAATTGTCGTCTTTCGTGGTTTTGATTAGTAATAAAATAGTTGTTCTTATGAAATGTTTTTTTAATTACTTCAACTATCCTCATCATCATCAACCCATTTATACGTCCCACTGCTGGGCACGGGTCTCCTCTCAGACGAGGGTTTTGGCCTTAGTCCACCACCGCTGGCCCAATGCGGGTTGAGAATTTCACACGTTTTCCGAGGGCTGTGAACCTTCTTCGATGTGCAGGCTTCAAAACGACGTTTACCTTCACCGAAACACTCATGATAAATTTCAAATTAAATTTCGCGCATAAATTCCGGAAAATTCAGAGGTGGGAACCCGGATTCGAATCCACGGCCTCTGCTTGAGAGGCGGATACGTTACCATGGCTTTTTTTTCTACTATTCTCTTGGACATATTATTTAAAGGACAAATAAAAAAGGTTGCAATATGACAACAACGTGCACATGACCCACTGACCACATACTTATACCAGAACGTTTAATCAAAACCAAATGACGATTGAAGTTATTCTTTTTTCAAATTAAACGATAAATTACTTTATTTTACTTTTTTTATCGTACATCCAAATATGTATGTCCATGAGTGTACATGTTTACATAATTCATACATAGGGCGCACTGTACGTTTCCGGAGCTGGCCACTTACATAAACAATATTGAAAGAGTAATTACAGCATTTGAAAATGGAACTCTTTGGCTGTAGAATACAGTTTGTTTCATACGACTGTCACTTGTTTTTACATTGTGGCGTCATTTTAGAAATTGGTTGTCTACATAACCATGAATTTAACTCGTGAAAATTTTCGTAGTATGATTTTCTACGACTTTAGCTCAGAGGAGCTTCGCTCGGCTTCAAACTGCTTTTGGCGATGAAGCACCATGCAAGACGACTATTTATAGCTGGTTTGCAGAATTCAAACGCGGTCATGTGAATCTCAGTGACGAATTTCGTGATGAGCGCCCGTCCACTGCTGTGAACAACAAAAACATCGATGCTGTGCGCTGTATGATCAAAACAGACTGGCATGTGACATACCATGAGATTCCGGTATCTTTAGACATAGGCATGAGTCAAATACAATCAATACTACACAAACATTTGGGTGTGAAAAAGCTGTGCTCTTGGTGGATCCCACACAATTTGACTGAAGCTCAAAAAACGGATCACGTCACTTGGTGCTATGCCATGCTTACCAGATTCAACGAAGGGGCATCAAATTAGTTGTGGGACATAGTAATAGGTGACGAAACACGGATTTATAGTTACGATCTCAAAACCAAGCAGCAATCGAGCGTATGAGTCTTTCGAGATGAGCCGAAACCAACCAAAATGGCGCGCGTGCAAAGTGCCTCGCGCATGCAAAAGCGGATGATTGCTTCTTTTTTAAATAAAACTGGACACGTGGCTACTGTTGCTTTGGAGAATCGTTGTACCATGAATAGTTCTTGATATACGACCATTTGCCGGAAGTTATTGACAAACTCCGTAAAAATAACCGTAAACGCCATATCATCTTGCACCATGATAATGCCAGTTCTCACACGGCCAGACAGACAAATGAATTATTGAAGGTGAACAACGTTGACCTTATGAGCCATCCCGCGTACAGTCCCGACCTGGCACCTTGTGGCTTTTATTTATTTGCAAAAATTAAAAACCAGTTACGCGGTCAACGATTTTCATCACCTGAAGAGGCTGTTGAAGAGTATGAAAAATATGTTTCAGAGATTGTCGCGGAGGAGTGGCATAAATGTTTTCAAAATTGGTTCATTCGTACAAACAAATTAATTTCTGACCATTTATAATATTTTTTTGTTGTTCATTCCGGAAACTTATAGTGCGCCTCACGTATTGATGTATTTCTAAACGTTTCCACCATGACTTCGCCAGCGATCGCGTAAAATTTTTATTCAATATCAGGATGTTTCACCACCATGCTATTCAATTATGTTTTGTGAAATCACTCCACTAGTTTGTTATAATAATTTACTACAAAGATCGAACAGTTTAGAAAAAAATCCTTCGATCCGGTTGGATTCGAACCGACGACATCTCCTAGGAAACCGTGCCAGACACTATGCCAAATGAACCACGAAACGAACCAGACAACGTCACGAATTTGTCTATGTGCTTGTTGTCGGATGTTTGTATTTGGTTTTTCAACGAATTTTATCCGTAGCGCCATCTATAAAAGTATTTCGTCACCCACTTAGGTACCTTTACAGCTACCAGTCCTGGCTAGAGATGTCGGTATTAATTGTAATTAAATTTTTATTGAATTTATTTTCACCACCATGATATTCAATGATATTTTGTGAAATTACTCCACTAGTTTGTTATCATTATTACTACAAAGATCAAACACGAAGAAAAAATTCCTTCGGATCGAAGGATTTTTTTCTAAGTGTTCGATCTTTGTACTAATAATTATAATTATAAAATGTTACTTCTTGTGGCCGCGTACAATTTGCCACACAAAAACAAACATACAATGGTCACTGTTAAGTCATGGTACAGGCAATGTCATCATCATCATCCACAGCCTGATTTCACCCATTGCTAGGTATAGTCCTTCCGAAGTTTGTGCCATCCACCACGGTCCTGTGCTAGCACCGTGCATTTATGGCCCACGACGCGAAACACTTTTTATTATTTATAAGTACTACCACATCGAGGAAAACTCACATTACTACTTGACGGCAAAAATAGGCAAGGTGGCTATACTTCCCTGGGCGAAGTCTTTCACAAGGAGCGTTACTGCTACTAAAATATCATAAAAGTTTTATAAATGAACTTTTGATAGATATGTTATTAATTTATTGTGACTTCAGTGGCCCAACTGGTTTCAACTCAGTAGGATAATTTGGAAAATGAACTTTCTGAGTTAATTCTGGTCCGGGTATTTTGGGTAGTGCCCCGGAATGAATTCCGTTGCTCTGGTACCTAGGTAGGTACTGTAGTCTAGGCTCCTCTATGAGTAGAATTACTGTCTGAGTGAATATGGTTTTGTATTTAGAATGTGTTTGAAAAAATAGGATAGAAAAAAGAACATCTTGGAGATCTAGAAGTAGCCATCAAGAAGTAAACATGTAAAAAATATAATAAATATCAAGTTATGAAGTTAATCCCAGTTTATATTTATAAAGTACCTCTTGCTACGCATCCTAATCATCAATATTGATCTCCCAGCTGCAGGATGAGGACTAAGGCATCTGGGAGATCAATATTGATGTTACCCAGTGATCGTCCGATGGATGCTCAAGCCTGTGTCGTCGTCGTAACAGCGTGCGCGTTGAAGATAGTTTAGTGATGCATTTAGGAAGTTTTAGTAGTGATGTTTAAGGATTTGTTAGGAACATTCAGCCAAGCTAGGGTAGCTGAAATAAAGAGTTAGGATTTAGACAGGTTACCTAAATAGCTAGGACTAACGAATAATTATATTTTGAATTGTTTGATTAGGATGTGATCATGGTCTGTCCTTTTAGATAGGTTTTTGGCAGACTAAAGCCATAGCCTCCTCAGTGGTTTACTTGTTGGTAAGGTAGTAGCTTCCGAGCAGTGTGTGGCTAGCCTATAGTAAAGGCTGATCACTTTGATGTAAGTTGCCTATCATAGGTAGGGCACCAGCTAGGGATGTTCACCCATAAATATCAAGTTATGAAGTTAATCCCAGTTTATATTTATAAAGTACCTCTCGCTACGCATCCTAAGCTACGTCTCAAGGCTACAGTACTCATTACAGGAAATTCCCAAGTTCAATTGTCGTGTATCTTAATATTTTTATTTTCTCAAATTTTGGCTGGTTTTAACAACATCTATGGACCTAAATCAAGAAAACACGGTATCATGTTGAGCATTTGTTACGATGAAAGCCTACTTCGTCTTTTTCTATCTGCGTGAAATTTCCAACAATACAGCCTGTATTTAAAATTACAGCCTTTTGTTTTTTTTTAATATCTAATAATTTGAGGCTATGGAGAAGATGATTTGGAACAACTAATAAATAAATAATAAACATTAGACAACATCACATAGGTACCTACGTTGTTCTGATATCAAATTTCCACTTGGTTTATGGTAATTGGAAACAACGGCTGTACTAATAAAAGATTATCATTATTATTATTGTGTAATTAATGTGTTTTGAAATTATTTGAAGTGTTAAGCTCCGGCCACACGGAGGCGGTACCTACAACGTGAAAGCGGTCCGAGGGCGAACCTGCGGGAAGCGTACGCGTACCGGGGCGTGCCACTCAGCAGTCCCAAGCATAGTTCGCGGCGGAATAGCCGGGCGAAGGCAACCAGTGTGCCACCAAAAGGAGCCACGTTTCATTTTCCATGCCGATTTTAAAGAAAGCGCCACCACATAGCTGTCGCATAAAAATCGAGAAAATTTTTTGCTTTTATTAGCGCTACAGAAAGAACGCAAAAGAAATTTCCGTCGAATTTACATTGAAACTTAATAAATACACACTCAATAATTGTAAAACAAATATAACGTCCAAGCCCGCTAAACTCCCGCTAAATCCCCGCTACTCTCTATGTGGATTTGCACTCCCAAGCGTAGTTCGTGGCGGAATAGCAGCCCGAAGGCGGTTAGTGTGACACCAAAAGCGGCCACGTTTCATTTTCAACACACATTTTCAAAAATAAACCACATCGCTGTCGGATAGTGAGGAGAAAATGTTCTGTTTTTATTAGCGCTACAGGAGGAGTTCTTTGCCCAGCAGTGGGATACATCAGGCTAATTGTATTGTATTGTATTAGCGATACGGGAGCAACACAAATGAAATACTGCCGCTCTCTTTATTTGTGTGCGCGTGCGTACGTGTGCTTGCGTGTGCGTGCGCGCATGAATGTGAGTGTGTGTGTGTGTGTGTGTGTGCGCGCGGGTGCGTGTGCGTGTGTGTGAGAGAGCATTAGAGTGTACGAGTGTGTACTTTTAGGCGTCTCGCTTTTTGCTTACTGCATCAAGTACACCGGAGGTATTTCCACGTTTACTCATTGCCTACCTTCTTCAAAAGACACCTGGTACGTTAATAAGCGGATAAAAACGAAAAGCTGTCAAACTAGCAATTAAATTTTCTATCCGTATACCTGAACAATTAACGAATTAATCGTTTCAAGATAAAAATTTATTTTATTGTTCAACGGTATCTCTTTAATTACTACGTTATACGAGTAGTAATAATAGAAAACTGGTTTTAAAACTATAACGCTTAGTTGTAAACGAGAGAAATCAATATTAATAGCCCTTTCTAGTAAGGTAGTAACGACAGTTTCTCTAGGTCATGGGCTTCGGTACAATCCAGAGCATTACACATCAAGCTGTATTTCGTTTTTTTTTAGAATTAGAAAAAACGTAAACATCGAAGCAGTGATCATAAACATTTCTAGAAGACAGTATTTAACTTTATTTAACAACAACGAAATCTTTTCTTATGATAAGAATACGTAGGGATTTAGAAAAAAAACGGATCGGGAATGTAACTTGTTTATAGTAAATGTATTGTGAGCAAGACACGATAAGTATTTTTTTACGTTTAATATTTGTAACTCCGTTTCTTTAAGTTCTTTAAAGTGCAAGATAGAAAGATTTCATTTAATATTTAGTGCATACTACGAGTAAAAGAACCGCAATAACTACATAAATTTTCAATGAAAACAAAAGTCATACGTGACCATGGAACCTGTAAAGGGCCCGAAACGTCGGTTTGTTTGAAAAATCAAATATACGAGATTTAAATCTGGAAAAATAATTTAATTTCCTATGCATAAATTTTGTGAATATGTTTGAGGATATCTTTTCACGGTATTTATTAAATTGCTTTGCTTACGAAATAGCAGAATGGAATGGCGCCTGATAAAATACCTAAAATTTCCTTCTGTTTAATGCTACAAAAAAGAAGTATAGAGCGCTAACGTGGCTATGAACTTTGCACTATTTTAATCTAAGTGTTAAGATTGATGTAATCGTATCTAGATGCTGTAGTGATAGGGAAAATAAAACCCGTTGTACACAAATAACTTCAATTTATTGCATTCAATTATAACGACTGAAAGGCACTCCAAGACCTGATTCTGTTCGGTATTATTACATACTCGAGAAAAAACACTCACGAAAATATTTGACTAGAATTTCTCTTACAATATAGGAACCGTTCGGAATGTGTACAAAATTCGAGTAGGCATCAATATCAATATTCATAACAGACAATTGACAACCGCGATTATAAATTATAATACGCAAACAGTTATACCACTCAAGGCACTTACGTTTAAGAACACTTGTAAGTCTTAAACTAAACGTGGTCCCGATTACAACACAATTTAGCATTATATTCTCCAATACATTGTATTTTTATCAACCTTGTGCTTATATTTAAAAGAAACACTGCATTGTATGCTTCTAAAAGCTAGTGTTCACATAAAACCGTCGCACAAACAAACAATGCACAAATAAATAACAAAATATTAACGTGCATCTCTTTTATTAAGACTGGTCTTCGAGCTGAAGTTGTCTCCTCCTCCTAACATATCCATATCTCTTATGCCAGCCTGGTATCTCAGGAGTTTGTCGTCAGCTGCCCTAATACGTTCCTGAAGAATCTCCACAGTTCTATTCAGCAACTTGATTTCTTCCTGAAGTGGGTACAATTGCATGTTCATCTGCATTAACTCTTTTTCGTGAGCCAGCTGAAGAGTGTGAAGCTGGAAGAAAATACAACTATAATTTATTTACGAACAATATTTGACTCCGTAGCTCAGTTGGTAGAGCGGTCGCCCTGGTACGACACAGACGCAGGTTCGAGTCCGGTCAAATCGAAGTAATTTTTCTTTCGACTGTGAACTGGCAACAGGTACTATCTCAGTTTTGCCAACAGAAAAAAATTTGCATCATTTATATGCCATCTGGTTTATTAAAAAAAAAACGTAGTGTAAATATTTACCTAGTACTACGTACGTACGTACGTACGTACTTACGTAGTAGTTTTTCAATATTTTAAAATTACGTATTTTTATTTAATAAATCAGATGCTATATAAATGACGCAAACAATTTTTTCTTCACCTATAAAGTTGTTAAAATTGATATAGTACCGATTGTCAGTTCACAGTCGCTTTGTGTTCGATCCTTGTATTAATAATTATACCAAACTAGTAGAGTAATTTCACCAACAAATTATGATTATCGTGGCTGTAAAACATCGCTTAGACTGTTTTTTTTTCATCCTCTATTCATTACAATCAATGTTACAATTTATAAAGCGACATCTCTATTTAACCTCTGGTAGCTAGCTGTAAGGGTACCTGGTTGAGTGAAGAAAATACTTTCATAGATTTCTCACAGATGGCACTACGCCAAAAAAGTCCCCATCGAAAGTCAAGTAAACGTCTGTAGCTCATTTGTACCCAACATCGTGGTTTAATGTAGGTAGCTAGGAAGTCTAAATAAACTCAATTTATAAGGCGGCATCTCTGTCAACCTCTGGTAGCTGTAGGTACCTAATTGAGTGAAGAAAATACTTTCATAGATTTCTCACATGTGGCGCTACGGCAAAGAAGTCGTTAAAACCAAATAAAGATCAGTCCGAAAGTCAAGTAAACGTCTGTAACTCATTTGTAACCAATATCGTGGTGTAGTGTAACTAACGAATCGCCCAAAAAACTTTAATTAAAGATACTTACATCCTGAATTCTCTTTTTCTTCAACATAATAAAGTCTTCATTTGTCCTTTTGAGCGAGTCCAGCAGGCTGTTTCTCTCTAGCCTAAAAGTTTCTCTTTCCCTCCGAGACTCCGCCAGTTCTGCCTCCATTTCTGTGTTCATCCTGGCAATAATGTTCTCAGCAGACTTAGATTGCTTACAACCCGTTTTCTTCTGGGGATTCAAGTTTAACAGCACTAAAACAAAAATTATGGTCACATTTTTTTGGAATCGGTTACTCTGATCTTATGATTACACGAACATAAACTTACCTTCTTTTTCCTTCTGCAAATTCCTCAAGTTTTTCTTAAGTTCCTCAGTTTCTCTATTGATTTTCGCAATAGTCCGTTGTTTCACCGTTAGCTCTGCCTGCAAACCTTTTATTGTAGCTACTAAATAACTGTCCTCTCTCAACTTGTTCAAGAGCAATGCAGAGTTTCGAGGTAGACGAGCAATGGCCGATGAAGCTCTATCAGTTTTAAAGACGGTTTGAGTAGAAATATTGCGAAGAGGAAAAGGAGCAGTTTGAACAGCAGTATCAACAAGGTCTACTTTATTTATTTTATCCTTTAGGTCGGTATTAATCTTGCGTTCCTCCATCAGTTGACGTTCAACGTCAATAATATGGTTCTCGTATTTGTGTTTCATGTCGCCGAATTTCTCCTGTAACGTTAGCATGACGCTTTGGAAATGGTCTTCTTTATCTTTCAATTCTTGCTCCAATCGTATGAGTCGATCTTCCAGTAGTTTTTTCTTATTATCTTCCACTGTTGACGACTTTGCTGCCACTGGTAAAAATAACATTTTATGATTTAAGAAGTTTCTAACAGCTTAACTCCTGGATTAGACGGACTTAACTACTATCATGAAAGTATATGAATTGAATTGGAAGTTTATTCGTTACGTATTGAACTCTTACCTATCAATGCTGACACAGAATCTGGATGTTTCCTCTTCAATATCATCTCCATCTCCTTCACTTGCCTTTGCAGATCTTGAATAACAGCAGCATCCTTTTCATGTCTAACAGTCAGATTCTTCCTTTCATTCCTTTCTTTTGTCAATTCGGCCAACAATTTACTTTCATTCTCTTTTACAGTTTTCAACTCGACATTTTTGCTTTCATATTGTTTTCCCATTCGACTGATGAACTTTTCGCATTCAGCCAACTTTAAATCAGCGACATGTTTAAGCTCAGTTACGTGATCCAACTTTTTACGTAGTGCTTTATTGTCATCAGTGAATTGCACATTCAAAAGTTCAATGCTTTTTATTCTTTCCTTTGTATCCTTTAACTCTTCTATCAATCCATCGTGTTTGCAAACAGATTTCTTTGGTGAATTCGTATGAACTTTTGGTGCTTTGGCGGCCTCTTTTTTCTTTGAATCGATAACGCCAGCAGAGAAAGGTCTTGTTTTTGGTTTACGACGCGTCTCGTTTTCCTGTTTGTGTTTTGGCGACTGATTTGTCTGAAATAAATTAATTAGTACCAATATTTCTTTTATCTTAAACTTACTATGTTCACTTCAAGCCAGTTCGAGCAACAATTGACAAATGTTCTTTCTGGTCCATTCAAGTTAATCGTCTCTCATTTATCAACAATCTATATTTACATTCTTGAATACATGCGCATTCAATATAAAAGAAGTATAGGCAACCATTGAATAAGTCCGTTTATTCAAATAAGGCGTGCACGTTACTTCTCAACGGACTCTACGTAGCAGCTAAGTGAAATATAACAAGCAAAAACATTAAAAACGAGTTTAGTTTGTATTTGTCATCGGCGTTAAATAACTGCAATTATAACTGCAATTGGTGGCAATGACCGGTCACGGCGATGTAAAAAGGTTGTCATTCTGGTTCTCAAATAAATGCTTATAATCAAGTTGGCGCCAGGTTAGTTGATTGACCAGAACGTCACACCGGTGTTTTTGTGTGATGTCTAAAAATATGTATAAACGAGTATAAGAAAGTATATTGCTATAAGAAACTAATACTACTCAAATTTTTATTTTTTTAAATCTTTATTTAATTTCATGACGCTTGCTCCAGAGAACATGCCAGTCCTTAGGTTTTCGCGATTGTTACACATAGGAAATGAAACTACTTTTCCAGATTTAAGGCTGCCTTTCCACCAGAGATGTGCGAGGTAGCGAGGCTGTGCGAAGATATGTAGTGGCGCTGTGAAACGGTGTGATATTTCCCACCAAAGCTGTGCGAGGATGCGTTACGAACTCTTTTTAGCTATACGCGGGCGGGGTGCGGTGTGGTGGGGTGAGCGATGGCGATATGTCAGTGTCAGTTAGTGTCATACTTTCAGTAGCTCTAGTTTCCTACACCGTTTTGCACACATTCCTCGCCCGCATCCCTTGCACACATTCCTCGCACACATTTGTCGCTATTTTGTATGTACAAATACTTAGCTCCGCTACCACCGAAGCTGCGCTAAGCGAGGCTAGGAAAATGAAGTAATCCTATTCCTCGCACGCTGCTTCTGGTGGAAAGGCAGCCTAATAGTTTGATTTCCTATGCCAGTCCTATCATAAACATATTCTAAAATAAATAACGTACACACTCATAGCCCCGCACTAAACTGAAACCCTGTGTCTCAGGTGCCACGGATACACACATAGAACACCACAAATTACACCCAAACTCGCGAGAGAATTAAATGTAGGCCATACATATGTTTCTCCCGGCCCGGGAATCGAGCCCAGGACCTCTGCGTAGCAGACCAGCATGGTAACCATTCGGCCACTGAGGCAGTCAAAATTGTTTCACAATTTACAGTAAAATGTACAACTTTTTATTAGAATTTATTAATAGTCAACTAATGACGATTTACCATGTCATACAACATTTTCGTATATTTTGATAAGATTCAATTTGAATGTAATCACCAATAATTGTAGCTGGTCTTCGTTCTTGATGCATTCCGCCAAAAAGTGTTGGACGTCTTCAATTTTGTCACGAAATTAGTATTTCTAATAAAGGGTTTTGTGTGAAAAATTCACACGAAGTAACTACTTAAATGGATAGAATGATTAATACCAAAACATAATCCACAAATAACCTTTCACCGACAGTACGTATACTTATATAACAGCATCAGTGGTCGAACGGTTACCATGCTGGACTGCCGCGCAGAGGTCCTGGGTTCGATTCGAATATTTGAATGGCCTACATTTATTTCTCTCGTGAGTTTGTGTAATTTGTGGTTGTCTATGTACGTACGTGTCCATGGCACCCGTGATAACAGGGTTTCCCTAGTACGGGGTTATGAGTGCGTGTGAAAAAAACTTAAAAAGTACCGCACACAAAGATGTCAGTGCTTTTCTTACCGTACTGCTTTATATTGATTGAGTACAAAATGTTTAATGTATGTAAATCATTGTATTTAACAAAAAATACAGCCAATATCAGAACATATGAAAGCTGGCACTTAAACTAAGAAAACTAGTGCTTTAAGGGCCAGCAACCTTCCAGTGTTACAGAGATACAATCAAAGTTATTTTATACGGACAAGTTGGATAAAAGAAAGTTCAGCGCTCGATTATTGTAACAAAAATTAAAAACATAGTATTATTAATTTGTTACAAGAATGTGTTAAAATTCGTAAAGGGGTTTTAATGCGCGTGTGGTTTGTTTGTGTGGGTGTGTGTGTTCGCGAGTGCGTACATGCGTGTGTGTGAGTTTTCATGCGTGACAAAGACAATCGTCATTATTTTATTTGACTGGATGTAGAAGATGTTCTGTTTCTTATTTCTATGGAAAAGCAGTAGGCGGTAAGTGCACAGAAAGCACTTAGAAATCGCACGGTAAAGTTGTTTTTTTGAGATCCATATAGCGAAACGGGCTACCCCGTACTACAATATTCCAATATTTAATTTTACTGTAAACGCTGTTACCAGAAATGGACAATGGATTATATAACCCACCCGAGTTTTGAACGGTTATTTCCCAAAGCTTTAAGTTAATCCATTTCTGCCCAAAATCATGGCCAGAAACGGGGAATTCGATATTTGGTATGATTCCATAATTACAAATTTCGATGTAAAAAATCTTATTTAGATGAAAGAGGCAATACCTCACAATACCTATTTTGCAATCCGTGCACATTACGATTCGCTTTTCACGAAAGTCGATTCAAGGTTATGTGCGATCTAACGATTTTTTTGTATCGATTTATTTCAACGCGATTTTCAAGCGAACCATTTCAATACAAAAGCAGATTGGATCTTCTACGAAACTCGATTTACAACAAATATTATTTCCCTACAGGGAAAGGCGAGGGCAAACCTCGATTTTGGGCATTACACCCGATTTAAAACCGGCAATTAACAAAGCGCCGGGTTAAGACCTGAGCACTTGCCCATCTCTGGCTGTTACTGTCCATGAACGGGATAAGTAACAAGAGTTAAAAGTACAGTGAACAGCTCATCACGCTATACACTTTTGTTCGAATATCGCCACCAGAGCAAAGAAGATCCGTCATGCGAACGTGCGAACAACATATGTAAAAGCTTAAGTAATTATTTTCATCATTAACCTATGAATATACCACTGCTAGACACAGAGGCGCACAGCTGGATTGAGGATTATATTCACTTTGTAAAAAAATATATAAACACAAACGTGTTTTACATTTCAATGGCAATTCCATTCAATATAAATTGAACAGCCAGTCGGAAAACAAACTGATAACGTTGTATGCCGAATTTAACTTTTCTTAATTGCTCTACGCAATAAAAATTTTAAAAAGGCCTCCTAACACTATAGCCAAGAAAATAGTAATAAAACTCTATCATTATGAATACACCTCAAGATTTTCCACAAAGCACTAAGGATAAGGCTTTATCGCTTCGACTGCAGCTTTAAAAAGGGGGAGATGGGTGCGCACGCGCATCGAGGCTGGTACGGTGGTCCGGCCTAGTCGCAGTAGCCATGGGGTCGTGGTCCGAGACGATCGTGTTCTTGCTCGTAGCTGTATATATTGTGACTAGCTCACCGCTTATTAAGGAAAAGGAGCCAGGAGCAGGCAAGCAATATTTTTGTTTTCATTTTCTTTATTATCGCCAATTTCACATTCATCAATCAGTAATTTTACATAAAGGAAACTTACATTTGTTTTTTAATTAATTACGATTTTGTAATTACATAGGTATGTAGTGTTAACAAAATAATATTTTTAAGTTTAATTAAAAGTAATTTGTGTAAAAAAAAACACAATATCCTCAGACGTTCCTCTAGATAATATGTTGTTTATTGTACACAAGTTAGTTTGGGTGTAATTTGTGGTTGTCTATGTGCGTCAATGACACCCGCGATACAGGGTTTCCCAAGTGCACGGCTACTTTTTTAAAACACGTATGTATAAAATAAACAATAGCCACCGGAAACAAATGCGGCGGAAAAATCTTAATTCCGGCCGAAGAATCGTATAAAGTATCCTTGTACGTGAGATAAATTAACAACTTTGTGGAGCTGTGGAACCCAAACTGGAACGATTTATTCCGAAACAAAAAAGCGTCATATCGTCATTTAGAACATTAATGATAGTGACTTACAATTTAAACGACAATTAATTATTTACGTCACAATATAGAACATCATATTTCGGAATTATTACTTACGCCCGTTTGTACTGTACACGACAGCACAAAAAATACTACGAGACATATCAAAATAATTCAAATTTGAAAATGGAAACCCTTTGAATATTGCTGCTGGCACATTTGATACAATTACACCGTTAGCCGAGATCTATGCGCAGACGAATGGAAATGAAGGCAGCGAAGCCAGTGCCCAGAGAAAGTCATTAAACATGTCACAGGAGTCGCGCCACGCATTCTTAACAGCGTCACTTTGCATTATCAATGCTTTCGACGTTCTCTCTCGACTGATGTCGAAATCAATTTATTACCTATTGTTCTAATAGCTCATTGAATGCGTCTAAATCAATTTTCAAATTCGATAACTTTCGCTTGGAATCTTGACAAGTATTTCGTGAAATTAAAAACTTATTTCAATGTTGAACGAATAAAAAGTATAGATATTTAGTAAAATTACTATATACTATACCGGTTTTCATGGTGTCGCCACCTCTGAGGTCATGGGTTCGATTCCCGGCCGGGTCAGTGTAGAAAAGTAACTTTTCTATATTGTCTCGGGTCTGGGTGTTTGTGGTACCATCGTTGTTTCCGATTTCCATAACACAAATGCTTTAGCTACTTACTTTGGGATCACAGCAACGTATGTGATATTGTCTAATATTTATTTATTATTATTAAATTTCAACATTGTTATGAGTAAACATTAATGTGGTAAGTGAATTATAGAATTAGTAATTACACATTGACGTTAAAAACAAAAAGATTTGAAACAATAAATAGATACTATCAACAAAATTATCATAATAATGACCGCAACCAGGTACTCACTTAACCAACAGGCTTAAGCATAAAGCGTGCTGTGTCGATGCCCCATATAAAACACGTTTATTATAGACGTTTGCTGGAGCGTGCATTCCCTTAGGCCTGTTGTATTAAACGTAATACGAAAACGCATGTAAATGTATGCATAATGTGCCGAATTCATTACATACTTATCTCAAGCATAATTGTAATAGGTCACGACCAGTGTAATAGCAAAAATCTACAGCCTGGTAATGACTATCTAATTACAAATAACAAGTTGTAATCAAAGCTATTAACGTGCACACACACAACTAGCTCTAATAAATTAATAATGTTTCAGATTGGCCTAAACGTAACTCTGTTAAACAGCCATGGGCTGACCAAAACACAACAGACAAAGTTGTCGAAGCAACACCTACGGAGAAAGACGTTATTGATGACATATTAGGCGAAGAAGTACCTACTGAACTTTCAGACATCATCCTTAAAGCAGCTGACCTTACCAAGAATGACGTAGAAAAAGTTGACTACACTGGTGCACAAGTTTGGAAAGTTGCTACGAATAAAACCAACATCCGTGTCATTATTTCCAGACTACACCGAAGAAATTGTAAGGACTCTATCATAATGTTAATTACAAATTGTTACTTAAAAAAAAACAATTAACGCTCACACTTTTCAGTACTTTCAACCTGGGGAGGCAGTCAATCCTCTATCGATGTCCTTGTCAAACCAAACGCACTGCAAAATGTAACGCGCGTCTTCAAAAGAGAAAACATTTATTTTGACGTTGTCATCGACGACTTGCAACAAAGGATCAATGAGGAAAATCCTCCCCTCGATCAAAACGAGTTAGAGTTGCAAGACCGACGAGGTAAGTTTTTAATAAAGTAGAATGTCATACCATTGCCATATGCCATTTTCCAAGAGTTCATGTAATTCTGTTGCAGCGAGAGTTTACCATTTTTGGCGTTACAGGGCCGTGAAACGCCGACTAGGTTTAGTAGGCGCGTACATGGGATACAATTCACTCGACCTGCCCATGGAGTATTGGCCAATGGCAAATTGGGGTTCGTTGTTGAAATTTGGCACACAGACTGATCAACTATGCACATTAATGCGTGTTCTAATTTTCTCGTTTGGGCAGGTGTGCCTTGATTCCTAATTTTCTGTGTAGTTAAAATTCTCGTTGTATTTTAACATCGTTAAATAGTGTGACAATGATTGTAAATAGTTTCTTTTTGTCTCTAACTCGCTGCAAGAAACATAAGGATAGCAATTGATTTGTCTGTACGTAACTAACAACACGGAACTGCGTCATCTCACCGGATGTGGTGATTGAACACGAGGTCCTAAACGACGACATTTCGCGTAGTTCGATGCATCTGATTTTTAATAAATTTCAGGGCACCGAATGACATGGAAACAATACCACAGGCTAATAGATATCCACGGGTTCATGGACTATTTGGCCAAAACATATCCTTCAATTGTCAGTGTTAAGACGATTGGAAAATCATTCGAGAAGCGCGATCTGAAGGTGAGCTAATTAAGGTCTCATGTTAGTCCGAGAAATAGGGTCGAGTCTGCAGTCTTTAGTAATTAACGTGTCAGGTGGCCATGACCTTGCAATGAGTAATGACAAAAGAATATACGTATCGATCTCACATAGAATTAAAATTCATCATCACGATCGTAATTCCCCTCATGTCAAGGTAAAACACATAGAACAATTAAACTGTTTTATTGTTAGGTACTACGCATATCTGATGGGAAGCCGACGAACAAAGCTGTTTTCATCGACGGAGGTTTTCACGCCAGGGAATGGATCAGCCCAGCGACTGTTACGTTTTTCATCAACCAATTCGCTGAAAACTTTGACGTTGAATCCGATGATGTTAAGAATATTGACTGGTTCGTATCCGGTAACCTAAAACTTTGCTAATACACTTATAATGCATCCCAACAACTACGATGTCTTGAACCCTTTTTGGTCCAATAATGTTTCTCAGGTATTTCCTGCCGGTAGTGAATCCCGATGGCTACGAATACACGCACAATGTGGATCGTCTCTGGAGGAAGAACAGGAGACCTGGTATTCCTGGTAGGGCGTGTCTGGGCACTGATCTAAATAGGAATTTCGGGTAAGCAGCTGAAGAAAGAACGGTCTTTTTTAATTGAAAAATGAAAAGGTAGTCGTCGTAAAATAAAATTAATTAAGTAACAAAATATCAAATCGCGTGTTTAGCTTAGTGATAAAGATAAAAACCGATCTTCTCTCCAGATAGGTATACATAAAAAAAAGAAACAATTAGATGGAAGACACTAAATTTAAATAATTCTTATAGCTATCGATGGGGCGGCAAAGGAGCATCGAATAATCCTTGCAGTGAGATCTATAGAGGCAGCAGAGCCTTCTCGGAACCAGAATCTAAAGCTTTATCTGTAAGTAGTCTATATGTTATCTAAATACTATCACGAATAAGTACTACATCTGGTTATGTATTTATAATGCGATATCGCAAATAGAAGACATAACTGAAACATGTCATTGTGTTTAAGATATGACGCATTAAGTGCAACTAGTAAAATTGATTGAAATATTGATTATTGTTGGATCGAATTTTAATTGTTAATTCTTTGTAGCTTCTGTCTTGATAAAGATTTAAATTCAACTCTATGAATACGCCTGCTATAAAAACATGCCAATGTATAAATTAATGTGCTCTTGACAGAAATAATAATACAATAAAGAACAATTTTGGTAATCTCGTCTCTACCTTCTAGTATCATTAAACACCAAGTGTTTGACGTCCATCAAATAACATTGCTAATTTCTTTTTCCGTTAACACTTCTCTCATCAGGATTTCATAAAATCAAGCGGAGCGAATTTCACGGCGTATCTAACATATCACAGCTACGGGCAGTACATATTGTACCCCTGGGGCTACGACAACGCGGTGCCGCCAGATTACCAGGATCTCGACAGTGTCGGTAAAAACGTAGCACAGGTAAGAGTAAAAGGCCTTAGAATGTATTTGGATTCAATGGTAGATGGTCCTTAATACTCTTGAATTAATTTTTTGTCAACTCTTTGTAATAATTCAATATTGATATTATGTTTTAGTACTATAAATTTCTCTGCAAAACCGAGATCAATAAGTAATGATTAAGTAATGAAAGCCCATTAAATTACAATGAAAAATATTATCATAGACAATTTATGTAGTCGAGTACATATATACTTTCCCATTCAATATTACTGATTGAACAAAGAGATATCAAGTTTCACATGTTCTCATGTCTTGGCTCTATTGAGTCATCTCAATAAAGCTTTTTCTATTCTTAGAATAAGTTAATAACATAATGACAGCGACATTGTGTAGAAAAATTCTTTGAAAAAGTACAGTCATATATCACGTAGTATTCATAAAAAATAGTGAGGCAAATTGTGCTAGCCTATAAATCTGATTCAACTGTGCTCATTTCTATGATTCATTGTTATTGCGTAGGTTGCTATGTTTTTGGAATATTAGGCAACAATTAAATTTTGGCAATGAAAGTAAATTTCAAAATAGCACAGGACCAAAAAAATTGTATCCCGCTCTGCAGGGCTAGCACGACAAGACGCGACTTGCGCAAGAGCGACATAGAACGCGAGATACTGTACGCGAGAATAGCAGCATCTCGCGCTTTAAGTCGCACAATTCGCGCCCTATCATGCTGATCCTACAGGATTACGAATTGCCATCAATTTAAACATATTAATACTATCTTTGTGTTGATTTCAGACTATCCAACAAACCGGTGGCTCAGAATACAGTGTAGGATCATCAAGTGGTCTCCTCTACCCGGCAGCAGGAGGGTCTGATGATTGGGCTAAATCACAAGGCATTAAATATACATACACTATAGAACTTAGTGATACTGGAAGATTTGGTTTTGTTTTACCCACTACGTACATTGAACCTGTTGCAAGGGAAAATTTAGCTGGACTTAGAGTACTGGCTAAGCAAGTACATAAAACATAAAAGAAAGTGTTGTTGTGTTTGAAAGTAGTATAAGTTATTTAATGTGTAGTCGTAAATAGAATACAGAACAAGATATTTATTTGAACTTATCATTTCATGTTTTATTTTATTCATTAAAAAACAAGTTTTCTTAATTTATTGTTTTCTGTTTTGTATTCATTAAAACTTTTAATTAAGTTAATTAAATGCTTTTAATAATAATATCATCCCAGCCGATTTTGGCTGCAGCAACTGCTATTGTTTCAAATGAAAGCCACATTGTTAACGCATTCTTGTGCACTTAAATGACTACAGTAGCCAATCTTGTTGGTAATGTATGAAGAAGCGTCATGATGTGCAAATTCATATTTAGAAAAGAAATATTTTAAGTATTTTTTTATGATACTAAGTAATGGGACAAACAAGGCGTGCATTTGGTGATAAGCAACATGTCTATCCATGACAGTTGTGGAGCCAGTCAGAGCTTACATCGAAAAGATCTTAGGGGCACTGCCACTGGGCCAGTCACCCTGAGACATGGTTGACAAGTCCCATATGCCTGTAATTTCACCAGCACCCTTTCAAACCAGAATGTAGTAATGTGAGCATTACTGCTTGGCAGCAGAAATAAGGTAAGGAAGCAGTACTTCCCTGGATGAAAACTTTCACAAGGACCTGTGATACAGCTAACTTAAATCCTAGAGCTCCTAGATAGAGTAGTCAGTCAGTAAAGATCTTGAATTACATTAAAAATAATAGGCATCAAGTAACACATATATATCTTTACCTGTACAATTCTGGTAAAACCCCAACGTATTCTAAATGCCACAGTAAATCAATAATTCAGCAACATCCATTTAAACTTACCTTAGCAACAGTTATGGGTTTTTCCTGAATGTTCTCCACAGGTTTTGTGACTTTAATCAGAGGGATAGTCCCAGAATCTACTCCATTTGGCAGGGTCCGTTCAGTTTTAGCTGCCACTGGGCTGCTCTTTAGCAACAGTTCAGTTTCTTGAGCCAAATCTTCAGCTCTCCTTAAAATCAACTCCACATCTTCTACATCTTCAGAAATTACATTATCTTTATTATTAGCGGCAGACAATTTGGTGATTTCACTAAATATCATCTTAATTTCCTCGTCGCTATCTTTATAGGCCTCGCAAGTTTTCTCAAAACTCAAAAACTCTTTTGTGGAAATACTATTTTCGTTAGACATATTTTCCTGTGAAATTAATACAGAACTCTGTGCCATTATTCCTGCTGTAGAATTAGATTACACATGTATACTTATTTTATCCCTGGAATAACACATTGAACATTATTCTCCAAAAATAACATAAATTTTTAATCAACAATTTCCGTTGCTAAGTAACCGCAACGGTGACAATGACATTCGGTTGGGTGTTTTTACATGAATCATAAGTTTATTTTTGTCAATTCCGGTTTTTCTTATTTCACTGTAAATCAAGTTATTTCAAGAATACAAATATAATTTTATATCCTATTGTATAATTGAACTTGAAACTGAAATCGTACATATAATAAATATGTTAAGCATGTGCAGCATAACAAATCAAACGCAATGACAGAACTTTCAATGATTACGTTAAAATACCCAGCCTACTGTGAACGTCCAAAACCTACAATATAATTTTGTATCGAATATGAATCGAAAAAAAAATATTTAAAGAAATATATTCTAGAAACTATCTTGCATTACAAAATATAAATTACATTTTGTTATAAACTAGAATTGGAATTTTCAACAAAAGTTATTCGTACCAATAGATATATTTCGTTCGTGCCTTATCAATCTTATCATAAAATACGACAAGATATTTAAATATTCCTGATATGTTACCTATTCATTGAACAAATTCCTAATTTAGCCGTATTCAATGACAATCAAGAAATATAAAAGATTCGAAAAAAACATTTTTATCTGCTTCCACAGAAAATAGACATTCCACCTAATACTAAGTAGCTTAATATTTATTTTCGAAATGCATCAGGTGAACGCTTCACTGGAATTCGCTCTGGACCTTTTGGAGGGAAAAGTGTCGTTTTTATTTTGACTTTCAATTATTTTGTGAAATCTAGTTTAATGTGGAATAGGATAGTGCTATCGTACCTTAATCGAAGATTAAAACGCGAAATTATACGAATCTCGAACTAAAATACCCGTATCGGCCCGTTTTCCGGAATCCCGGGTCAATCCAAGCATGCCACCGCCTCAAAATGCCTATCCTCTTTGTGGTGGCCATATTTATAGAAACATAATTAAACTTCATATTTAGGCGGATGGCTTTGCCAAAGCCTTAATAAATTTAAAAAAATTACCGCTTCACTGGCATTTCTTGGCACCTACTCAAATTGCGTAATCTACGAATGCAAATGCATGAAATTTTAATTTCGTCGCGACCTAATTGTATCTATTTCGTATGCTAATTTCAAAATTAAAACTATTATTATAAATTGTAACTTTGAAAGCTTTAGTGGTTTTTTTCACAAACTGGATTTCGGTTTGGAAATGAATAAATGTTGCTTACGCAGTCAATTACATGATAACTACAATTGTTGTTTAGCGGTTCATAACCATAGAAATTACGAATATATGCGATTTTGATATAATACAGTTGAGCACTTTGTTCGATGATTAACATTTTTAACCACTGCTGTTAGTTCAGTTACGGAATAAGCCAGGCGTCTTAGCTCTATTGCCGTGACACCATGCTGATGTCTATGGCACAAATTTCTTTGTTTTGTTTTTTATTGGTTTGTTGTTTTGGACATACCCTAAAATTGACATTGAGTTAGATGATATTAATAAGTCGATATTGTGATTTTTGATAGATTTACGATAGTGAAATAGCAACATTTATTGATTGTGTCGTTTGACATTTTCTTTCACAAAGCGAAAATATTTTGAATTTTCATAACTAAATACTATACGGCTAATTCTCATAGAAATATATTACACTAGTGCGTGATTAAGAATGTCTGTGCCACCACAAGCGTTTGTCAATAAAAATAAAAAGCATTTCCTTGGAATCCCAGCACCTTTAGGTTATGTTGCTGGTGTAGGCAGAGGGTTAGTGTTTTTGGCCTATTTTCCCTCTTTACCGCGTAATAAATTGTAGAAACAAGTACTCAGTAAAACTGATCATTGTTCACAATTAATGTTATACGTTTATGTTTACAGTGCTACCGGTTTCACTACACGTTCTGACATCGGCCCTGCTCGAGACGCCAACGACGTATCGTGAGTACTGTTGTATAATATGGTGTAAATGCAGTGTCAATATAAAAATTTGCTATATGGTATAGTGTATCGGACTGTTTTCCGCAACTGAAGGTCGCAGCGTCTATTTTGCGTTTTAAGTTAGTTACAAACAAACAAATTTGGAAAGTGTGTCTTTTCAAACTGTTATTAAGGTGGCTTCATTCTCCTGTGCAGGCCTTGATCCTTGCAATCATTAATTGGTCTTTTGTAATCACAAAATCACCTCAAAATACATTTCGGTGTTAAAGAACTGAATGATTCTCCTTGCTTCAACTGTTCTGCTCTCTGGTTGAGGCATATGTCTTCCCAATGTGGAGTATCGTACGCTTACCAAGGAATAATATTGAGTATGGAAATGTAGGAGTTTCTTCCACTTTGTGACAGAATCTCCACTCTCTCTGAGTTTAAGGTTGGACACGTTGATAGCCTATCTCAAAAGCACTAAATTCATCGGAGAGATGGTTTAAGTTAAACTGAGAAACATGTCTATTGTGCAAAATTGACAAATCATAGGCCATCCCAATTTTGTCATCTCATTATTTTAATCATAAAGAGCTTGTTGTGTTATTTACAATAAAATTTAGCATTTTCTGAATAAATCTCATTAATAAGTCAAAAAAGGAACTATTTTAGAATGAACCACTATTCAAATATAAAAGCAGTGATGTTCTGATGCCATTTTTGGCCAATACCAGAGCTGATATGCTTTTAAAGCTAAAAGAAATAATGCTCTATCAAATACTTTCTTTTAACATTTTATTTCTGACTAGATATATATTGTCACTGGAAAGACGAAAGTACTAAAGCGCAATTGGCGCTCTTGGCGCTTCATCTGGTCCATCATTCAAATATACGCACCAACAGAAACTAGCAATGGTGGTCTAAAAGATAAACTTTATGAAGAACTCTCAAAAACCCTGCAAGACGCAAACAAACATGTGATGGTTATGGGCGACTTTAATGGCAGAATCAGAACACAAAACCCAAGCGAAGAATCAGTGATAGGGAAATTTGGCGTAGGGAAGAGGAGCGAAAACGGAAAAAGGATGATAAACCTAGCACAAGAACACAACCTCTCTTACATAAATAGCTATTTCAAGGAAAAATAAACAAAGAAATGGACTTGGGTGTCACCAGATGGCTCGTATAGAAATGAGATTGACTATATAGCCACTATATATACTACATACTATATCTACTATATATATATACAATAGCAGAAAATATTGTACAGATGTATCTGTTATAAATTAATATAATATAATACTAATCACTGAATGATAAGAGCAACCTTGAAGATCGACAAACCAAAAAAAGCAAGAAAACACTGGCCAAAAAAACCCAAACCTCCAAGAAATACTCAAAAAGCCAAGCTCATTACCATTAGAAAACCAATACCTGCAAGACCACTATGACAACGAAATAAACGAAAAAGTACAATAGGAAGGCACCGCAGAAAAAACAAAAGGAAATACTAAGCCAACATACCAAAGAAATCATAGCAAAAAGGAAAGAGCTGTTCAAGGACAAGAAGGACAAACAAAATTTAAAACAGATCACTAAGATGAGTAAAGAACTAAGCCATGCAATAAAAAAGGATAAATCACTTCACCGAATTGAATGCATGAAACAACATGTTATGAAGACAGGTGGAATAAGGAAGGCCATGAAAGAGTTACAAGAGTCCAAAGAGTGGATCCCAAAAATGAAAAACAAAGCTAACTTCCAAGAGACAAAAAGGAACAGAATACTAGACGTAGCAACAGATTTCTTCCAAACCATATATGCCAAAGATGCGGCGAACGAACGACTTGGACGATGGTCGACGAGATTGAGCTAGAAGACCTAAACAAAAAAAGTATACCACTGATTCTAGAGGGTGAAGTCACTGTTGCTATCTTGTCCCAGAAAAATAACTAAGCACCAGGTCCAGACAGTATACCAAATGAACAAAGGAAGAGCAACCTCCCAGGTACGGTCAAGAGTCTAACTAAGTTATACAACTCTATACTCGAATCAGAATTTATCCCCTCACAATGGACAAACAGTACCATCATACTTATACACAAGAAAGGAGACAAAGGAGACATGAATAATTACCGCCCCATAAATCTGAAGTCGAATGTATACAAAGTATTTTTTAAGATCATGCTAAACCGAATCGTGAAAAGGCTAGATGAAGAGCAACCCAAAGAACAAGCAGGTTTCAGGTCGGGCTTCTCCACCTTAGACCATATGCACGCCATCAAACAAGTTATTGCGAAATCAAAAGATTATGGGTACCCACTATACAAAGGGTTCATAGACTACAATAAAGGTTTCGATTCTATAAACCACAATCACATCTGGATAGCTTTACATAGGCAGGGTATTGAAAAGGATCATAAAGAACATATACTCTAACAGCAAAGCACAGGTGAAATTAGAATCTCTGGGAAAACCATTTCAGATACAGAAAGGAGTCCGACAAGGTAACCCACTCTCGCCAAAACTCTTCTCAGCAGTTCTTGAGAATATATTCAGAAACCTCGAATGGAATGATAGAGGCATAAACATAAACGGTGAAAAACTGAACAATCGAAGGTTTCCTGATGATTTAGTAATATTTTCCCATGATCCTGTTTCCCTACAATACATGATTCAAGGCATTGCAACTAAAAGCAAAGAAGTGGGCTTAACCATTAATAAAGCAAAAACCAAAGTAATGACTAACAGATCTGAAAAACCTCTAACTGTAGATGGAGAATACATTGAATATGTAGGATCCTACATTTATCTGGGCCAATTAGTGTCATTTAGTGATCAAACTGAGCAAGAAATAGAAAGAAGGGTTATCAACTCTTGGAACCGATATTGATCACTCAAAGGCATACTTAAAAACAAGCGCTATCCAATGGCAGCAAAGAGAAAGATCTTTGACATCTGCATCGTCCCAATTTTGAGCTATGGATGCCAAATATGGGCATTGACTAGTAAACACCATGAGAAACTCACAACCTGTCAAAGAGAAATGGAGAGAAGTATGCTTGGATTCTCTCTCTCTCTAAGAAACAAAAACAGAGCTACAGACATACGAAGGACCACCAAATTGGAGGATGTCACCACAAAAATTAAAACACTGAAGTGAAAGTGGACTGGCCACATGTACAGGGAAAAAATAGAAAAGTGGACCAGAAAGGTAACAGAATGGCTACCAAGAGAAAACGCCAAGAGGAAAAGAGGTCGACCCTTTAAAACATGGTCCGACGACTTTAAAAAAATAGTAGGACCTCTATGGACTAGGCTAACAAGTGACAGAGCCAGATGGATAGAGCTGGGGGAGACCTATGCGTCTTCAGGATGTGCTGATGTCATAGTTTAAGTAATTTATGAATATAATTATTAATACAAAAATCGAACACTCAGAAAAAATTCCTTCGATCCGGTCGGATACGAACCGACGTCTTCTTGCATACCGTGCCAGACGCTATACCAACTAAGCCACGGAACGAACCAACGGACCTCACGAATTTTTCTATGTGCTTGCGTCGTGTCTTTGTACTTGGTCTTTCAAAGACTTTTTAGTCGTAGCGCCATCTATGAGAAATCTATTACAGATTTATCACCCAGTTAGTACCTTTACAGCTACCAGTCCTGGCGAGAGATGTCGCTATTCACTGTATTAATTAAATTTTTATTGAATTGATATTCAATAAAAATTTAATTATGAATATAATTGTCAATATAATTGAATGTCAATATAGTATAGGTTAATAAAAAATATATATATTATGTAATATGAAAGGAAATATTAAAATATGATATTCTGTAAAAATTATATTTCTTTCTTGGTTCTATTCTAGAGATGACCGCCATGCCCCACCAGCAGCCAAACGCAAGAAAACTGAAGAGGAAGATGATGATGAAGACTTGAATGACTCTAACTATGATGAGTTCTCTGGATACAGTGGGTCTTTGTTCTCTAAGGTAAGATTCTTGATTAACACTCTCAAATTGTATGTGCAACTTATAAAGTCATGAAAGGATAGTAGAATTAGAAAAGCTCCACAATAGATCCACCATGCTTTACTTTGCTAGTAGAGCTTCAAGGATCTTATTAATAAGCATCATAGATAATAATAATAATAATAATAAATTTGTTTATTGTCCTCCACAAAAACTTAACACTGAACGAACATAGTTATAATATGTACAGATTGTTTTGTGGTGGCTGGAGCCTACACTAGGATACCCTGTGATATAGGTCTCCAGGCCTCCACCTCCAGTAAGTATGATCTAGAGAAAATATATTAACAAAATATGTATATACATATAAATCACACAGTCTAAAAGAATTTGAAAATTAAATATAAAATATAAAAAACAAAATCAAAGTATACATCAATGCATTGGGTGAAGAAAGTCTAAGTGTGTGTGTGTGTGTGTGTGTGTGTGTGTGTGTGTGTGTGTGTGCGTGCGCGCGAGGTTATGGGTTACGAGTAGATGTAATTAAGTGTTAGTCCAATAGAAAGTAATCTGCAATGGTTAACTTATTACTTCAATAAGATTTTCGGTTACATCGTAGTTCATTTTCAATAGCCAATCAACCACCAAATTCTTACAATTAAAATTATTTAATGAATAAATTTTATTTGATACGTTGCATTTATTGTACAAGTAAGGGCCCAAAAAAACAAAAAATCTCTGCATAAATTTCGATTTACATCGATAACTGGAGCATACCAAGTCACGTCTTCTCTTATTATTTTGTATATGGGTGGTGCTATAAGTCAATTGAGTGTGCTTTTTGAGAATGGTATTAAGGACGAATAACTGGCGTACTGTTAGTACTTTACAATTTCTATAGAGATCGAACGTAGGGAAGTCGAAAGAACGGAACGTGGCGACTTTTAGTAAGGCACGCTGAGAAACTTCTAGTTTCTTTAAGGACGTTTTATGTACACCACCCCATGTGGTAATACAGTATGTTAATATTGACTGGCACAAAGCGTAATATACCATTTTTAGAACTTTATAATCTGCAATATTTCGTAGGGTTTTGAAAATAAATATAAGTTTTCTAATGCGAGATGATAGCAAGTTAATATGTGATTTAAAATTAAGGTTCTGATCCAGATTCAAGCCAAGATATTTAATAGTAGGAACATTTTCAATAGAAGGACATGAGCATCCAGTCAAAAGATAAGACTGACATGAATGGGCAGTCAGATTGAAGTTATGTTGTAAGGTGTTCCGAATAGAAAACAACATGTACTTAGTTTTTTCAGCATTTATAGTTAAATGATTATGTGCTAACCAGTCAAGAACCAAGTTAAGACCATCTTGGGCAAACTTAAATACATCCTGCAGAGAATCAGCTTCAAATACAAGGGCTGTATCATCGGCGAAGGATACAATTTTGCCATTAGTGAGTTGCAAATTACAGAGATCATTGATAAAAATTAAGAAAAGGGAAGGACCTAAAATGCTACCTTGAGGGATGCCATAATGAATGGGAAGATCAGCACTACGATGGTTATCAATTTGGACACACTGACTGCGGCAAGATAGGTAACTCTGGAAAAGACTAAGCTGTAGCCCTCTAATTCCCATTCGTTCCAATTTCTTCAAAAGCAGAGGAATCGGGACTGTATCGAAAGCCTTAGCCAGATCGAGAAACACCGACAAACACTTTTTACTACCATCCAAATTAGTAACAATAAAATCCGTAAGGTCATGGATTGCATCCGCAGTCGATTTGGTTGCCCGAAAACCGTATTGCCGAGGTGAGAGCAGGTTGTTACCCTCCAGATATTTGATTAACCTAACATTCATAATGCGTTCCAAGATCTTAGATAAGGATGGCAAAATAGAGATTGGACGATAATTGGAAACAAGATTTCGACTTCCCGCCTTAAATATGGGTTTTATAATAGCTCTTTTAAAAGCGTCTGGAAAAATACCTTTAGATAAACTTAATTTACAAATATGTGTGATGGGAGGCACTAAAGTGTTTTTATATTGCTTGAGGATTCTGGAAGAAATACCATCCCAACCCACAGTACAGCTATTTTTTAAGGATAAGATTAATTTCTCTACTTCGTCTTCATCGGTGTCAAACATGTCATAATGAATCTAGAATATTTATTATGACTTGACATAATGTTTCTTCAATTTCAAAACAATTCATCAAGCTAGGCACTAAAAGATGAATACACTTGATTATGTACTAAATGTACTTCATAATAATAAATCTTTATCACACATACTGTTGAAAATTGTGTCAAAAACAATTGGAAAAACAAACTTCATCGATCTGTAGAATAGACTTGTGATGGCAACCAGGTATCACATGCACAAGATGTGGACACACCTATTCCTCGACTATATAGACTGGACACAATGATTAAATCATTTGCAGATTCATGCCATTATGATTTTAAAACTGTCAACAACTTACAAAATCAGAAAAAAAAAAACACTCAGAAAAAATTCCTTCGATCCGGTCGGATTCGAACCGACGTCTTCTTGCATACCGTGCCAGACGCTATACCAACTAAGCCACGGAACGAACCAACGGACCTCACGAATTTCTCTATGTGCTTGCGTCGTGTCTTTGTACTTGGTCTTTCAACGACTTTTTAGTCTAAAAAGTCGTTATGTCTAAAGTCTTTGTATTAATAATTATAACAAACTAGTGGAGTAATTTCACAAAAAATAATTGAATATCGATTCAATAAAAATTTAATTAACTTACAAAATGTTTCTATGTTAAATTAATGTGTTGAATGTTTTTTTTATTACCAAGGATCCCTATGACAAAGACGATGCGGAAGCCGACGCCATTTATGAGTCTATTGACAAGAGAATGGACGAAAAAAGGAAGGAATATAGAGAGAAACGGCTCAAGGAAGACTTGGAAAGATATCGTCAGGAGAGGTAAATTGTTAATAAGAATTATACAATGTGTAAAAGGAGAGCGGTTACACACGGCAACTTTTTGCAGCGATACAAACGCGCGACTATATAGATGCTGCCGCTTTGTTCAATCATTAAAAGCATGCATCGCGTTTGTATCGTTGCTTAAATCGCGCGTGTGTGTAAAGGTAGACGATTTTTTTAGCAAATGAAGAAATTCTCATCACACGTTTATATTACATGTCACACGTATTTTGATTTGGTATAAGTGTCTATCACATACACTAACATAAAAATATTCTTCAAGGCCAAAAATCCAGCAACAATTTTCTGACCTAAAGCGGGAATTAAAACAAGTATCAGAAGACGAATGGGCAGCAATCCCCGAAGTGGGAGACGCGAGAAACAGAAAACAACGTAATCCACGCGCAGAGAAGTTTACACCATTACCAGATAGTGTGCTGTCGAGGAACCTGGGTGGAGAATCTAGTACGTCAATTGACCCTGGGTCGGGTTTGGCTTCAATGATGCCTGGAGTTATGACACCGGGAATGCTGACTCCGTCTGGTAAGGAAGAAGGAACACTATTTCACTTAACTGTAGTAATAAGTAAATTAGATACCATTTTGGCCAGACCTAAGCTGCCCTAAACAACAATCTAAAACTATTTTTCCGGATTTAAATCGCGTATATTTGTTTATTCAAACAAACCGATGTTTCGGGCCCTTTAGAGGTCCCATGGTCACAGTTGACTGAGGTGGTACAGTTATCAACCAGTTATGTCTAACATTAATACAAACCACCCTATTTTTTCATATAGTTACAAAAGTTATTAATACCTTATTTTTAATTTTACAAAGTCACATTCCAATTTACGCTACATAACGTTTTACATATTATTTTATCGAATGAATTTTTATTTAGTTCAATTTATTATTAATTAATAACAGAAAGTAGAATAAATTAAAACATATTAATTAGTACTGCAATCCTTATGTTTGGGATTTTTCATTAGAGGAAATACAGGATCCCAAACTGGTGGTACGGAGAAACTATCTCTGTTAAAATTAGGATGTTTTTTAATTGCAATGACATCTCGCAGCGTCCTGGGTAGATAACAGTCTTCTTTTGCAAGGACCTGGGGTTTGTCAGACTTCATTGAATGTGTAGGTTTATCCATGATATACTCGCAGTCTGCAGACTTGTTTACGCGACGGTGTTTGATATCAGCTACATGTTCTTTGACGCGGGTACAAATACTTCGCTTCGTTTGTCCAATATAAGAGAGACCGCACTCACAGTCAAGCTTGTAACGTCATAATTTAGCTTAAATTGGAATGTTTCTTTGTAAAATTAAAAATAAGGTATTTAATTAATAACTTTTGTAATTATAGTGAAAAAATAGGGTCGTTTGCATTAATATTAGACTGGTTGGGCGACTGTACCACCTCAGTCAACCGTGACCATGGGACCTGTCAAGGGTCTAAAACGTCGGTTTGTTTGAAAAAACAAATATACGCGATTTAAATCCAGAAAAATAGTTTCATTTCCTAAACGACCTAAAAGTTTTTTACTTTTTCATTGTTAATAAAGATGACAGTAAGTTGCGAAAAATATCTAGACAAAATACGATAATGGCAATAGATTGTAGCTACTTTAAATTAAGGTTTAAAATTGCTTGCAATGGAAGCAAATGTGTAGGCATATTAAGTAATCTGTGATGTTAGAAAGTTGTCACCCTATTTGAAAAATCTGTAACATAAAACCATGGACAAATGGTTCATGATAAAACCAAAGAATTGTGTGGAAGCGTTTTTCCTATAAAGAGTAGCTTTAAAACTGATTGTGGCATTTACAACACAAATGTTTGTAAAGTTTGTACTTTTGCCGAAATGTAAACGTCTTTTAATTCATTTTTAGGTGACCTGGATCTCAGGAAGATAGGTCAAGCTAGAAATACACTAATGAATGTCAAACTATCACAAGTATCCGACTCGGTCAGTGGTCAGACCGTAGTGGATCCCAAAGGCTACTTAACAGACCTACAATCCATGATACCGACTTATGGAGGAGATATCAACGATATTAAGAAGGCAAGGCTGTTGTTGAAATCTGTTAGAGAAACGAATCCGAATCATCCACCTGCTTGGATCGCTAGTGCACGGTTGGAGGAAGTTACAGGTAAGTTATTGACTTCAAATATTGTTAAAAGCTTATTTATTAATGACACAAGTTGATTTGTGTAGCTTGAGCTGTTTAATAATCTCTAGGACGCCAAATCACTAGAAGACAATCGCAATGACTATAAGAGAAGCAGCACTGTACTGTTGTTCACGGATGCATTGTAAATGGAATCAAAATATAAGATAAAACAACAATAAACCATGTATTACTCAAAATATTTTAGATTTACGTAGTGAAACACACGTTTGCCTTAACATTGACACACAACAAGTGTTGGTTATGGTATATATATCATGACAATAGCTACGAGGGGACGTCCACTTCACAAAAAAACAAGAAGTAACATTTTAATGTCCTGAATGGTTTAGCCAGTCCTAATAAAAAAAAGCCTATTATTTCGTGTTCTAGCCATGTAGGAATATTATAGTATTTGAAATAAGATTACTTTGTACATTCATTTTGCCAACAAGTGATGTTTGCAACTGTTTTTATGTTCATACGCTTTTTCTGTGCAATGTAAATTAAAACGTAAATAAATAATTAAATATTATTTAAGGCGTGTAGAATTTTAGGATAGGAATATACAACATTACACCAGTGTTTTACTATAAGTTACAATCTTCACAAAAACATAATGTTGACAACAATGTTTACCACGCTTGGTCGATTTTGTTTTTCGGAGCTGGTTAGTATGTACAACGCCTTTTATATTTACAGGCAAAATACAATCAGCGCGTAATTTAATAATGAAAGGCTGTGAAGTGAACCCAAGCAGTGAAGAACTATGGCTCGAAGCTGCGCGATTGCAACCGCCCGACACTGCGCGCGCCGTCATCGCACACGCTGCGAGAAACCTGCCTCATAGCGTCAGAGTATGGGTTAAGGCGGCTGACTTGGAACAGGAAACCAAGGTAAATTTTCAAATCACTAATTCCTTTAAGTTGTTCCAAAGCACAAGATCACTTATAAGTTTCAGTTGAAGTGATATTAATATCGTCATCATCATCAACCTATTTATACGTCCCACTGGTTAGCACGGGTCTCTCGAGGGAGTTTTTGGGCCATAGTGTCCCAAAGTGATCCTTCCCGCCCAGTGGGCGCTGAAGAGACCTAGAGGGATGGTAGGGGCCTCGGAAGCGAATGAAAAAAACCCCGGAATTTTCTTCTGTATATATATTATTACACTATATTTATATGTTTCGGACGCGTAGTTTTCCCCTATATTTGCGCGTTATATTTACTCTTTCTTAGTCGTAAGCAATGGTTTGTGCATGGACCAATAATTGAAGAGCTAACCGCTATACTATAATTTTGTATTTATTGGTACACCAGGTGTCGCGAGTATGAAATAGCTATGTTTGTAACTAATTTGTTTCACATTGACATGCAGCAATTTATCAAAGCTACTCTATTTAAAATAAAATAAAATAACGCATACACTCAACATAACCCCGCATTAGGGAAACCCTGAGTCACGGGTGCCATGGACACACACATAGACAACCACAAATTACAACGAAACTCACGAGATAAATTCGAACCTGGGACCTCTCCGTGGCAATACGGCGTGGTAACTTTTCGGCCACGGAGACAGTTAAATTTCTAGTGATAACAAACAAATCAACTAGATGGCGCTTATTGCGCAGATTTGTAACGACGGATGCCGTGTTGGCTATTCTTTTATTTTGTTTAGGATTAGCGACATCTACCCATATTACGAAGCGTTATTTTATAAATTAGTTTGTAACACAACGCCATTTATTGACACGCATATTTGCAAAGTTAAGAAATTAATTTTATCTCAGGGTCAATATTTAAATACAAAGAAAATAACCAACTTCTTACATTTCATATTAAAGAGGAATTAATTGGTGGTGGATATGCCACAGCCATTTACATAATTTAAACTACTTCCAGGCTTTTGATCAGCGCCATCTAGTGATATAAGACGGAATTTTGTAGTATATAGATTAGCAGTCCTCTGTATTATTGGTCCATGTATATTACCAGAAGGAGTGTGATTTTTAAACGTTTCATTTATTTTCAAAACTAGGCCAAACGTCGCGTATACCGTAAAGCATTAGAACACATACCGAACTCAGTGCGTCTTTGGAAAGCAGCAGTTGAACTAGAGAATCCCGAAGATGCGAGAATCCTTCTATCTCGCGCCGTCGAGTGCTGCCCTACCAGCGTAGAACTGTGGCTCGCCTTGGCAAGACTCGAGACTTACGAGAACGCAAGAAAAGTACTGAATAAAGCGAGAGAAAATATACCTACGGATAGACAAATTTGGGTGACTGCGGCTAAACTGGAAGAGGCACATGGTGAGTACTTTTATACAAAAAGATCAAGGAGCTGGTTATGGATTGTAAGGGCGCGTTCCCATTATATCGTAACGTTTTATTTATCGTTGGACGACATCCCATATCACGACTATCTCTCGTGACAATGTCGTGAACGTTTATTTTATCGTTGAACGACTGTCGTGTCTGGCTGTTCTCACTAGATCGATTGTTGCGTAACAGACTCGTTAGAAAGCTGCGATTATCTGTCGACACGTTTTATTTATCATCAGACGACAGTCGTGCATAGGAAATGAAACTATTTTTCCGGATTTAAATCGCGTACATTTGTTTTTTCCAAACAAACGGACATTTCGGGCCCTTTACAGGTCCCATGGTCACGGTTGACTGAGGTGGCACAGTCTTATTTTTTCACTATAGTTACAATAGTTATTAATTAAATACCTTATTTTTAATTTTACAAAGAAAACATTCCAATTTACGCTACATACAGTCGTGCAGTCAAGAGCACGTCATGCTTGACACTTTGTACCGTTCTTATCATAAGCGGCATAGGGTTGGATTTAAATCTTAAGTGTCAAGCTTGACGTGCTCTTGACCCTGTACTATCTGTTCCCATTGTCACGACAGTCTGTCGTTGTAATGTCAAAAAAGTCGTGAACGACAGTTAATCGTGTTGTAATAAACTTTATTTAAATATACAAGCCACGACACTTTAAACTGCACGACTATCTGTCGTCACGACATAATGGAAACGCGCGTGTTAATATGATTATGGTATGGGGTTTTAACTATGCAGTATCTGTACTGGCTAATTTAGCATCAAAATTATGTACTATGTTCCACTTACAGAAAATCCTCTACGAAATAGAACAGATTACTTGTAAACGCTCTAGAACATCGGAAAAAGAAAAACCTATAGCTATTCGGTATAAAGTGTAAAAACCCGCGAATCACACAAAAATCTTTAGTTTTTTATTAGTTGGTAATTAATGATAATCCTATTGCTATCCAGCACAGTAAGTGAGAGTCTACAGAATTGTGAGGTGGATATTTTACTATTGACTCTGTAAATTGTTACACTAACTCGAGAAATTCTAGATAGAAGGTCAATAAGCCGAACATGTACGGACAAATCCGGTTGAATGGTAAACCTAGCCAAGAAACAATCTTAGTAACAAATAGCATGTATTTAAATGATCATTTTAAATTTGCAAAAGCAGCAGGCATAAAATCTAAACGGTCACCTTTTTCAATGAGTGATCCTTTTTCTGCGAGACATAAAATAAATAAAATCAATGCTTATTTAACCTGTTCTGAGCTACGCAAAAAATGTTTGATTTGTATAAATTAACTTTGGTAGTTTTATGTTGGGCCTCAAAGCTAAAACAAATGACCATTAAAAATAAATTGATTATTATAAAATTTCACCTGAAAACATGTTCGGAAACGCAAGCAAATTGGCACTCGCCACTACACACAACAATAATATAGGATTCAATTTGTACTAACCGTACAGCGGCGAACCGTATAGGTTGAAATACGCTCATTAATGCAACATTGATGCGAAAGTATGTCGTCCCAAGTTAATCGCTCTTTCGGTCTAGAAAAACTATCGATTGCCGTTCATAAACCTGTTTTACATTTAGTCGACTGTCTTTTTTCTTTTTTAATTATTAAAACTAGACACACGCTTGACCACAATCTCTCTTGATGTTACAGGATGTTGTGACAGACGAGGTTTTCCTCTACATGGCTTCTAATAAAACTTCTGTTAAGTGTGACATATTTCTGTTAACAGGTAACACGCACATGGTAGAGAAGATTATAGACCGTGCGATCACATCTCTAAACGCAAACGCAGTCGAAATCCACCGCGAACATTGGTTCAAAGATGCGATGGAAGCTGAGAAGGCTGGCGCCGTCCATACCTGTCAGGTTAGTTAAGATGTTGTTACATATGACACCCCTCATGGAAGAATGACATAAGTCGAGTTACGTCAAAAACGTTTCTCGCTCCATTAGATACAGAAAAATATTACCGTCCTCTCCAATTCTTGTGACTCTATCGACTAATATTGTGGATAGAGTTACAAGAATGGAGAGGATGTGGGTCATATTTTTCTGTATCTACTGTATCCATGACAGGTGCGATATATATAGACAGACTATCACGCTTGTATCTCGATGAGATGAAAATAGCTCATTGCAATTGGTATTCTGTATTTTTGGCTGAGTGTTGCTATTAAATATTAGAAGTCGTTTAAATTAATGTTAATTTAAATGGCAACAGTAAAAATTTTGACAGCTTTTTTCATCAAGCTACAGAACAAAAAAAATTGGTAGGAACCGTGACTGAAATGGCAATACTAACAGATAATTGGTAGAAATAGTTGTTTGATTGGCAACAGTTTTTTTAAGATGCATTTGGCAACTTGCGATCGGTCCATGGACCATGAGCAGTTGTTTTGTTATGATCTATTTGGCGTGTTAGGCTCGCCCGCCCTGTGTTAGGCTGCTTTCATCTTTCCAATTTTTCCTTCCTTTAGTCCCACATGTGGCGCCTCTTCAATCGTCTGTTACTTAGCGGTTCGTTCAGAGCTTGTGCAAGCCTGTTTTCATGTCGTGAGATTCTGTCCTTATAGGGTTTTGTCATGCTGCTTATCACCTGTTTGAAAGTAGGGATCTGCAGATAATCATGAATATCATCCACTTTTGTGAACCATGGAGCATTTACCAAAGTTTTGAGCACACCATTTTGGAACCTCTGTGATATCTCCAAGTTTCCAAATATACTATTAAAAAAATAGTATAAAAACAAAACGTCATTTGTCTGTCGTGTAGATCTCGCACGCCGATCGCTTTCCAGAAAGAAACTTTGTTTTCTCAGAGTCGATAGAGGAGTTTAGAACAATTAATTTTTTTTTAATAGTAAGTTTGTGGGGATACTTGCCGATCCCCACAGTTGTAATCCATAACTCCAAACCGGTTTGAGGATTGTTTTATAGATGGTTAACTTGTTCTCAAGAGATAATCGCGATTTTCGCCCAGAAGCCATTCCAATGATCTGAATTTGTTGTTGACCTCATCACGCTTCTTTTGTATGTGTGTTTTCCAGGTTTGTCTGCGGTCAAGGTAGAATCCCAAGTATTTAACAACAGTATTCTGGGGTAGCACATCTTCACCTAGTTTCACAGTTGGGCAATCTTCTCTACTCAATGTAAACGTGAATTGATTGGACTTTGCTGCGCTAGCTTTGATTTTCCAGTTATTAGAATGTATTTTATCAATGTGCGATTCCAATACTCTTGAAGCAGTCTCCGGGTCTCTATCTGATGTTAAAATGGCTGTGTCATCTGCCAATGCAGCAGTCAAGATATTAACAGATTCTGGTACATCAGCCGTATACAGCATGTAGAGCAATGACCCTAACACCGAACCCTGGGGGATGCCTGCTTTTATATCATAGAACTTGGAGGTTGCATCATTAATCTTATCGTAGAACATGCGATCTTTTATATGATTGGCAACACTAAGCATGAAAAACAAAATGTGATTTTAACCGGACTCTTTTTGCCTTGCATTAACTAATATATATGAAGCAGCAGGTATATGAAGCTGAAGCTCTGTTTTCCACTATCTGAACTTTCAATTGTTTTTAATAGATTATAATAAGAGAAATGTTGTTATAGGCTATAGTACGTGCAGTTATTGGATATGGTATTGATCCAGAGGACCAGAAACACACGTGGATGGAAGATGCTGAAGCCGTAAGTAGCAATTTGTTATTATTGCATTATCAATCTGTCATCCCCATGTTATGATGAAGAAACAAGGTTTTTTCTTCCGTTTACATTTCATATAAAGGTTTCACTGAACTTATTGAGGATAACAGAGTATGGAATATAAAAGAATCTTTAATAAATAATAATATTTAATGATAATAATTCTTATTCGTTACTTTGAGCCAGTTAGAATGTTCTGCAAACACTAAGTGACTTCATCATCATCATGGTCAGCCAACATCAACCCACTGCTCCTATATCCTTACGTACAACATACTGCTCTTATAGGCCTTTTCTTTATTGCGCCAATATTTTCGATCCTGCGCCATTCGCATCCAGCACGATCCCGCAAATCTGAAAATACTTCATTCTGGCGCGTTATTTGAAAGGGCGCATGTGACATTTTTACAAAAAATTTGTTAATATGTATATACTGTCATAGTCAGTAAAAAAGGTCATCTGTCATTATTTTTATTTTTCCTAGGTGGATAAGGTACTGTGTGTAACTTCAGTTCATTTCTTTAAACATCATTTTCTCGGTTTTGACTTTTTATCACAAGCGCCCTTTCAATTAATGGCGGCAGAATTACTTTAACTACGTCCAATTTCCAGTGCGCGAACGAGGGCGCGTACGAATGTGCACGCGCAGTATACGGCTACGCACTCTCAGTGTTCCCCTCGAAGAAGTCGATCTGGCTCCGCGCTGCATACCTGGAGAAGCAGCACGGGACTCGGGCCAGCCTCGAGGCCTTGCTGCAGAGGGCGGTCGCTCATTGCCCCAAGTCCGAAGTACTGTGGCTCATGGGTGCAAAGTCCAAGTGGTTGGCTGGTAAATTTTCATTCTATTTACTTTCACCTATAAAATTTATTTGTTTATGGAGCAATTGAATCAAACTATTTATTAATCATTACATCGAGTTCTTAGAGTTTCCGCGGTTGCTACACATTGGAAATTGACTATTTTTTAAATCTAAAATCGCGTATATTTGTTTATTCAAACAAACCAACGTTTCGGGTGTTGTACACATGCCATCGTCACAGATTATTGTAATTTAAAAAGTAGAGTGTAAACAAGTTTCTTTCTATAAAAAGTAATATATAGGACGTCTATTAATTTCGTGCCAATAGTTATGGAGGTTATTCAGGACATCAAAACATTTATTCATATTTTACATACGTTTAAATTCACTCGGAAATGGCGGTGCTGACAAATTCCAACCGTTTTCAAAAGCCGCAAAACTATAGTTTTTCACTTGATGTACTCAATAAGCTTGAGTTTTGTGATTTGTAACATTGTTCGTCAACATTTGTATTCTCCATCGACAGGTGATGTTCCTGCAGCTCGTGGCATTCTCTCCCTAGCGTTCCAGGCGAATCCCAACTCTGAAGAGATCTGGTTAGCCGCCGTCAAATTGGAGAGTGAGAACAAAGAGTACGATAGAGCCAGACGGCTGCTTGCTAAGGCTAGAGCTTCTGCGCCTACGCCTAGGGTAAGACATTTCTTCGTTTAAATATGACGTAATATTTGCGCTCGGATTACCAATATAAACGCGCCTTAAAATGACATTTCAGGTAATGATAAAATCTGCAAAACTAGAATGGTCGCTAAACAACCTGGAGGTAGCGTTAAAGCTGTTAGAAGAAGCGATTAAGGTATTCGCAGACTACGCCAAACTGCATATGATGAAGGGACAGATCGAGGAGCAGATGGGGAAAGATGACGATGCTCATAACACTTATACGCAGGGGGTAAGGTTTCTTTTTCTATAATACAGTTTACAACAGAAAAGGGTTATTATGAAAATCTTTAAAAGTAACACATTTCAATTCCCGAAAAAAGAATGAATTGCCATGTAAAACACCTTGTACGACGTACCAAAAATTTTTCCTTTCCGGATTTAAAACTATTAGTATTCTGCTTTTTGTTGTTGGTGAAACCCATCTGCAGATGAAGCCTTACGTTTACCTGTATAACTTACTTAAACTTTCTTTTTATAACTAACTATACTTGAAAACGTATTACTTTAAAGTATTCAAAATTAGATGCAAGCCATCTACTTTTTGTATTCTGCTTACAATGTACGACCTGCTTTTGATAAGGTTACACAAGTGGCATGAAGTGCTATGGTTCCGAATATCCACTTCCACACCGTTCACGGCTTCGTAAATTAAGCTTTTGTGTGAAGGACGTAATACCTACTCATAGTACAGAGGATTCTATATTAGGAGATAGGCACAACATTGCACCATTTTGTATGGTCTTTTACAGGACAACATAAAAATATATCCAACCAAACTAAAAAAATATGATTTAAAATAGTAGTACAAACACATAGTATTTATAATATACACACACCACACCCACGCACACACCACACACACAACTGAATTTTTGTTTATTGTAACTACATTAATGTCATTTGAGCTGTTAGCTTCCCAAATATAAATAAATAAACTATTATCCAGACATAAATTTCTACATTGTTTTCATCCACATTTGAAATGCGTGTATTATTTTCAGCTCAAGAAATGTGCAACAAGTGTACCGATGTGGATATTACTATCAAGATTGGAAGAAAAGTTAAAACACGTCACTAAAGCTAGATCCGTCCTTGAAAAGGCTCGACTTAGAAATCCTAAGAACGCTGAACTCTGGTAAGTAGTGTAACGGGACGAATAAGTCGTACGCCTGATGGTAAGCGACACGCCTCGTCATAACAGTTGCAGTGCCAGTCAGAGCTTTAAATCGTAGAAACCTGCAGAGCACTGCCACTACTCACGTCACTTTGAGACATAAGTTTACAAGTCTCATATGCCTGTAACCTCACCAGCACCCTTACCCTTCAAAACCGCAACGCAGTAACGCTCTCATTACTGCTTGGCTGCAGAAATATGTGTAATAGAACGTTTAAATTAATAATTAATTAATTAATGTAATTAATTAATGTAACATATTAGAATATTTGACAATGGCAGAATTGAGTGATAATTGCATGCCACCGTCCCCTTCTCATAATCAGAGGAGTAGACGTAGGTTGAGGTTCGACCCCAATGTTGTGATTCCATATTTAAATGTCGTACGATTATGGAGTGGAGACCGCTGCCTCTACATACTTGGTCCCTGTATGCCATGACATGTGCCAATTCAAGGCGAGAGTTAATAAGCTCTATATAGGTGTGCATGCTTCATTGTCGACCCTATCAGCACTTTCCATCACTTACAGTGTAAAAATACAATAAACGTCAAGTAAAGGTAAATATTAATATAACGTTTTGAAATATCAGAAAATGTTAATTGATTGAGTATTTCTGATAGCTGACAATGATGGCAGTAATACTACTTGACATCATTGTTCGTATATAAATTAGTTCTTCCAAAAAGCGCCACATAGAGTGGCTCAACTTTGATCAAAGTAGCGACATCTATTGACATGCTTTAAAATTAATTTAAAAATGTATGGCAAGAAGACATGCACATAATTACGATCTTTTTACAGGTTGGAAAGCGTACGCTTAGAAAGGCGAAACGCGAGTTTAGAGATCGCGAACGCTGTGATGGCAAAGGCATTACAGGAGTGTCCAAACGCTGGTCGACTCTGGGCTGAGGCCATCTTCATGGAATCGCGACCGCAGCGGAAAACTAAGAGTGTAAGTATTTATTTTAACCTGAATCATGTAAGATGTCTTTGCCAAGATAACTCATTGATACAAACAAAGATTAAAAAAGGACCCAGTACGACGCCTTGTGGAACACCCATTTTTGACTAATAACTCCAAGATACGAATCAGTTGATACCGACCTTCTGAATTTAATTTAAAAGATGAGATTTCAAAACTTTATTTTTAACACTATAGCACTCGTATTTACTGGTCAAAATAACGCAATCTACATCTACGCAATCAGTTGCCTTGGAAAGTTCATTGAACACTCATATAGTTTTTTGCGAGCGAAATCGAATTTCGAAAATCGAAACAAATTCATGAGTCTATGCCAATACCGTATTGTCTATTGAAGGTAAGACCATTGCCTCGCTACCAGCCATCTTGAATCTTTCCTCAAAAAAATCCTTGAAAAGAGGTCAATCTAGCTTAAGAAGCCAATCTATCATTAAAAAGATATTATTAATATAACCTATTATGAATTAATTTTCTACAATTCGTCTTAATATAGTACTAAAAAAATTGGTTTATGGTTTATAACAGGTGGACGCGCTGAAGAAATGCGAGCACGACGCGCACGTGCTGCTGGCCGTCTCGCAGCTCTTCTGGACTGAGAGAAAACTCAACAAGTGCCGCGAGTGGTTCACCCGCACCGTACGTAATCACTTCTCACTTTTTATAATATCTTACAACGTCCTCGAACTTGTAAAGGACTGATGCATAAAAGGCGTGGCGGAACGTAGTAGATAGTTGGAGTGTATTACTGGCAACCGACGCGATGATAAATATTATTATTTATCAATATTTAGAATAGAATAGAATAGACATTTATTGCAACGCCACAACACATAGATACAAAAAAAAAATATTGATACTACTTAAACAAACAAAACAAAACAAAAAGACGTAATAAACAAAATTAAAATAAAATGAAATAAGACAATAACAAACAAAGAGCAAAACAAAAAATACTAAATATAACAACTACAAATGTTGTACTGTCATGTGTGCGGTTGTGGCGTATGCAAAAGGACTTCATTCAGCTTATGCCACAGCCGCAATTGACTGTGGCGCTGGTTTTCAATGAGCCCTGATTATAAATGAATGATGATATTTATAAATGAACCCAAAGTATCAATATCTGGCACAGCCGGCTAAAAGCTTATAGAACGGAAAACTCTGAAACCACGAAAATTTCCGAGCGCCGTCTATAAGTTATCGTATACACGTTTGTAAAAAAAGACATACGTCTTTTTTCATTTTATGCGTCAGTGATATTATTTTTTGGGTCCATTGGTATTCAGTTCTAGATAGAACAATTAACATCTATTTAAGCAACATAGAGCTTAATATAAATAAGTAAGTGTTTTTAATGGTTACAATGACAAACTGTAGTTGTTGTATAGTCTGTTCCAATCCATTTTGAACAAAAAGTAAACAAAACTCTGGTTAAAATTCGACAGCAATAACTCAATTAATCGAGTAAGTAACACTTTCACAATATATTTCGAAGGTTACGACTTTATATATCACTTTTTCCAACAATAAACCTTTGTAAAAAAATGGTTCGTTAAATATAAGCGGTACTTGGCCACTTCTATTCTATCTCTTTGTTTTTTGTTTTTTAGCGTTTGTTTGGCTTTCATTTGAATTAGTTGTCATGGATATTTTAAATATTGCTTGAGTATCATACATAATTAGGTCTTCAAATCTCGTACCTATTACTTAGGCCACAAAGCAACGGCACTCGACTTTAAGAACCCTCATTCTGCAACGATTGCAGAAAATACATATTTTTTATTAACACAAACATTTTCTTAGAAAATGAAACATTTTCCGTATTTACTGTACGGAATGTATTTTTACAAACTATTTAATAAATACATTTATTTTAGTAAAAATTCATATTGTTAAAATATAATAATTTGTAAAACATAATGTAGCGTTAAAAATAAGGTACTAAGGTAACTTTTGTAACTATAGCGAAAAAATAGGGTGGTTTGCATCAACATTAGACATAACTGGTTGATGACTGTACCACCTTACGACAAACGTGACCATGGGACCTGTAAAGGGCCTGAAACGTTGGTTTGTTTGAAAAAAAAAACAAATATACGCGATTTAAATGCGGAAAAATAGTTTCAGTTCCTATATGTAACAATCGCGAAAACCTAAGAACTCGATAAATGTTTTCTTGTTACACATAGTTTTAAGAAGAATATAACTTTATGTCATCGTTTAACTGAATATTAAGTATCCAAACGTTGTATTAACGCCTACACTGATCTGTTAATGTTCACTGCAGTATTTGAACAGAAGCGAACATTTTAGTGCGCCCATAAAACTGTCTTTAAAATACACATGACAAACGGGCTATTGGGATAAAACATTGTTTATTACTGTACTGTTTTAATGGTTATAAAAAGGGCCGTTTGTGTAAAATTTATTGCACCAGACCTTTTAGCCTACCGTATCAACGCCCTTATAGAAACTTGCATTAACGAAATCGTATTTTTAACATCCTTACTCACTAGGTTACATTGCGTCGATCTACGCAAATGCAAATTTAATTTAAGATTTAGCGCATCTGTTGGAATTGCATGATTTGATTCCCCTTTCCATCCTCGGGGTACTAGACGTAAGCTAGGGTTGGGCACATGTTAATGGCGAGCGGCTAGAGAGTGGAATTCCATGCCTGCGGACTTATTCCCCGATATAACTTGGACCTTTTCAAGGCGAGAGTGAATGGGCATTGTTTAGGTGAGCATGCTACATCGTCGACCTCATAGTCACTTTCCATCAGTTGAGATGGAGGTCAAATGCACACTTGTTTTTTTATATAAAAAAAATCTGTTGTTTTGTTGGCGCTAAGGAAAACAATTATATTTAATTTACATATACAAATACATGCCGTGTAAAATTACGGCGTCGAATTTTCTACTGAAAAAAAAAAAAGATGTTGCACTAAACTTGGCGAAGCGATGTTGTTTATGTAATGCCAAAACTAATGGTACATATATAAAAATATTCTTGTTCCTTGTAAAGAAAAAAAAAAGAATTTAAAGTATAGTAGAATTAGATCTGTAGTGCACAAAATAGGAATCTAAATATATATATATATTTTGTTATAATTATTAATACAAAGATCGAACACTCAGAAAAAATTCCTTCGATCCGGTCGGATTCGAACCGACGTCTTCTTGCATACCGTGCCAGACGCTATACCAACTAAGCCACGGAACGAACCAACGGACCTCACGATTTTTTCTATGTGCTTGCGTCGTGTCTTTGTACTTGGTCTTTCAACGACTTTTTAGTCGTAGCGCCATCTATGAGAAATCTATTACAGATTTATCACCCAGTTAGTACCTTTACAGCTACCAGTCCTGGCGAGAGATGTCGCTATTCACTGTATTAATCAAAATTTTTATTGAATTGATATTCAATTATTTTTTGTGAAATATATATATTTTTTCAAACAAACTCAAGTTGCGGGCTTTGCAGGTCCAAAGGTTAACTGATTGAATTTCATTATTTTTTGTAATTCGTGGATTACCAATGATAATAAAAGATATTTGTTACCCTTATACTAATTGTAAAATTCTTTCGCAGGTAAAAATCGACCCGGACCTAGGCGATGCATGGGCGTATTTCTACAAATTCGAACTCATCCACGGCAACGAACAACAGCAGGAAGACGTGAAATCGCGCTGCAAGGCCGCCGAGCCACATCACGGCGAACAATGGTGCAAGGTCTCTAAAGACATAGCCAACTGGTGTTTTAGCACTGAACAGATTTTGTTACTAGTCGCTAAGGATTTGAGTGTTCCTTCATAAAGTTTTTACTGAAAACTGTTTTATGACAGAGTATTTTCTGACTTTAGCGTTTAGACCACAGAAAAAAAATGGAAGTGCCATAAGCCTCGATTACTATCAGAACCGATGGCGCCAAATCACACACTCTTATTTTGAAACACTACGAAATCTTGATAATGATTGGTCGTAGTTTCAAATTTAAAAAAATGAAACAAATTTTGGACTGTTAATATAAACTTTACTCGGTTGGAATATCGTTAAAAGTTCAATACCTATTATTGCTAGTTACAACGTTTTGATTTTATATTGAAATTTTATTCAATGTGCTGCCATCTTGCGACAATAGCTGAAAGACCATGATACGACAAACTATTAATAAAGTCGACCATATTGCAGCGGACCATTGCCAGTGGTAACCGCTTTACATTCGTTTCTTATGACAAGAAATCAATTACGATAAACAGAAAACGGAAAATTTCGACTGTGAACTGGCTATCGGTACTATCTCAATTTCGACAAGTTTACAGGATGAAGAAAAAGTCATTTATATAGCGTCTGGTTTATTAAATAGAAATACGTAGTTTACATACATACATGTGTAATAAAAGACTACGTAATTTTATTTAATAAACTAATGCCATATAAATGACGCAAACGATTTTTTCTTCATCCTGTAAAGTTGTCAAAATTGAGATAGTACCGATTGCCAGATCACAGGCGATTTATTAAAATTATATAAAATAAGACTTAACGATGATATGAAACGCCACTATGGATGGTATTGATACCATTGCACTCCAAAGTAGCAAAATAAGGCATTTTTCCACGGTTTTACGTGAGATAATTGGCACGACCATAACGTACAAAGCGCAAATGGCGGACTGAGTTCAAGTATGAAGGGGAACTACGCGTACTGTTGCCACGCGTGCTACGCCAACTAAGCACTCATATTGTATTTATTGTTCTGTGGTTGAGACTCTATACAAAGTACATAGATATCGTTGACACTATAGTTGAGACGATACACGAAGACTGGAGAGATAAAATGTAGGTATTGTCAGTATAGGTGACACTTCCCAGCAGTAATTTAATATTTTGACTTAAATTATTGTGAGTTCAAGATTTTGTGGTTGGATAATTACATATCACCATGGACCGATAACTCAATATGACTACTAATTAAAATTATTAGTAAAAATTTTAATTAAAATTATTAGTAAAAGATTAATAAAAATTAAAAGTACCTATTGGTATACCAGATGTCGCGACGACTACCAAATACCTATTTTTGTAACTAATTTGTTTTACATTGACAAGCTGCAATTTATCAAAGCTACTTTAATTTCTACTGATAACACACAAATCAACTAGCCATCTAGTTGTTTCGCTTATTCCACAGATTTTTGTGGATAGTGCCGGCCATCGAGTATACATATAACCAGAAATGGAGACGAAATAAGGGCCATACATTCCCGGTAACTTATCAGTGATACATCACTTATAAATATCATCCCTCTTTGCACTGAAATAAAGATAGACCAACAACTGACATGTGTGTACGTCTCCGTATATTCCAAAAATATTCTGTATTTATTGTAATAAAGGTAATATCTCTAACAATGGCGTGCTGTTCCATTCGGTGATGTGAGGAAAAACTGCAAAACATCTAATTACAAAATAAAATCAAATTTCATCGGTAATTAAATATTAAATATGTAATTTTGCAATTGTCGTTCATTATAGCAAAGCTCAAGTTAACTTATTTTGTTTAGGATTAGCGCCATCTACCCATATTAGGAAGCGTTAATTTATAAATTAGTTCGTAACATACAATGCCATTTATTGATACTTAGTTCGACAAATAATTTTAGCTCATGATTAATATCTGAATAATATTACAAGGAAAAAAAAACTTCTTTTTCCTGGCCTTATACCACGCTAGGTGGAGTCGGCACAACATGTATTTTTTTCCACTCTCCCCTATCAGCAGTCATTTTTATACTCACACCTTTCTTATCCATGTCACCTTTCACAAAATACATCCATCTTTTCTTTGGCCTTCCTTTCCCCTTATATCCCTCCACATTCATACCTAGCACTCTTTTTGTCACATGACATTCTTCCCTCCACATGACATCCATACCAAGCTAACTTATTACTCCTCATCTTTTCCGTCATTGGCGCCTCTTTCAAACTTCCCCTGATGTACTTATCCTTATCTCATCCTTTCTCGTCACCCCACACATCGATCTCAACATACATGGAAAAAAACTGACTTCTTATATTTTATATCAAAGAGGAATTAGTTGATATCTACGGCCATTTACATTTTGACCTTTTTCGGAGTTACAATCTGTATGGAGATTAGCGGCTCTAGAGTTATTAGTCCATGATATCACCGAAACTGCGCGTTATTTAAATCTCACATTATCATTCTGATTCTGTGTCTGCTCAACGCGAGTGCACCGCGAGATCATGCGAATGTGTGGGCCGTACACTCATACAAGCCGCGCTGCTACGTTTTTAAGCAGTTATCCTACTTGTCTTATTGTATGTACTACAGGCCTACCGCTTAAATGAGTCGGTTCCTGAGGTAGCTGCGCGGAGCGGGAAGAGTGACAGAGTCACACACGTGATAATTTCAAGAAGACTGTTCTGACGCCAAATGGCTTGTCTATTCATTTCAATTACCAATGAAATAGTTTTTTTTAAGTTATCGTTTGACATAACAACAATTGACTAATTTGGTATCATCAGAAAAATCTTGTTCAAATTATCACATAACTGTTATTTGTCACTCCTCCCGCACCACGCAGCTACCTCAAGAACCTATTCAGTTGAGCTGTAGATCTGTATGTAGTAAACTTTTACTTTCATATCGAGACAGAGACCATATTATATTTGTCAGTCTTCGAAACAAAAATAAAGAGTGTTTATATCCTCTAGTTATGTATTTGTATAAGTCTTATAGAAAAATGTTATACATTATAACGAATGATAATAAGTCGATGAGTTGGTTATGCAGTTAATAAAGCCCTTTGTTACCTAGACGTAACGATATGTTAGTACTGTTATGAGTACCAAATCAAAAATAGCTTATATTGTTATTGAAAAAAAATGTAATTGTTGATACTGGTTGTCCAAAGTCATGTAACATTATCAGAGATCGGCATAGGCATGGTATACTTACCTAAACTTCAAGGAAGCGTTAGAGCAGATAATATAAAATAAAACCTCGCTCTTAAATTCTGAAATGATTGTTTCGTTCTGTTTTTTGATGTAACTAGCAGAAGTGTTACTACGGTAGTGTACATTACAAAATGAGGATAATCGCGAAGTCAAATAATCAATTATTCCATAGGTAACAACATTTTTGAAAACAACACTAACACAACTTGAAAACGTTATTTTTTAAGCTACTGCTCGTTCACTACGCTGACCTCCACGAGAAGAACGAGCAAGAAACTCTAGGGATTGCTCTTTTCAAATAAACTTAATGCTATGGAAATACACTTTGAATCATAATTGTGTGGAATGTAGACTCTTGTGAATACGAAACAATTAAATATAATATAATCTATGAAACAATTTAATATATATTTCCACACCTACCTATTTAATATACGACATGAGTATAATGCAACGCGAAAGTTTAAAAACGTAAACGATAGTGTATTAAAAAGAGTTGTAATTGTAAGTAAAAATAAAAATAATTGTTCAGACTTATTTGCCTTTTATTTTTAAAAGAGAGATGAGATGTTGTCCGCTGTATATGTATTACTTGAAGTTTTAGGGAAATGTACTACCGATCTCTGTTTATTACGTTGTAATTAATTGTTCCCTTTTAGTACTTTAAGTTTGGAATAAATTCTAAGATGTAAATATTTTAAAGAAATCTTTTATTTCTACATTTATGAACAAATATAAGTTTGGTACACATCGGAAATGAAACTATTTTCTCGGATCCAAATCGCTCTTAAATAAAGGTCCTTTGTTCGCGGCTAACTTAGATGGTACAATCACAACCAGTCATGTCTAATATTAATGTAAACCACCCTATTCTGAATAAGTTACAAAAATGTTTTATTTATTTTTAACGCACACACTCATAGCCCCACACTAGGGAAACCTGTATCGCAGGTGCCATGGACACTCGCATAGGCTACCACAAATTACAACCACGCTGACGAGAGCAATTACGATTTTTTTACTAAATTAAATTTATATATTAACGTATATATATTATTTTAAGTATAAGGCTGCTGTATATTAATATGGAATTCGTATTCAATTTTATGACCTCCGTGGTCAAGTGGCTTGCACATCAGTTTTCATTGTGTCGTCATCTCGAGGTTCCACCCCGGCTTAGAAAAACTAAATTTTGTATATTGTCTCGTGTCTGCGTGTTTGTAGTACCATCGTTGTTTCCAGTTTCCATAACACACACAAGTGCTTTAGTTACTTTGGGGATCGGAGCGACTTATGTAATGTTGTCTAATATTTATATATTATTTATTTAATAAATAATCTGAACTAACATTAGAGATATTAATGGTTAAAGTTAGCGATGGGGGTATTCCGTCCTTTTTTAGCAAAACTATCTTTAGTATGTAACTTACATGACGCCATTAATGTGTTACAATTAGTGATGAACGAAACTCAGTCTTTTAAGGCCTTTTAAAAAAACCTCTACTCATTGTTAACGCCTCACGACTAGTCTAGTCTTTTAACCCTCAAGTCGTAAGTCATAAGACTAAGGGTCGTATTCCAGAACTCTAGTCAATGCTCAAGTCAGGATTTGAGTATGGTTTAAAGCATTCGAAATCATACTCAAGTCCCTGCCATTAGAGTCGTATTTCCAGTGCTTGTGTTTCAATTGCAATTCTGACTTGAGCATTGAGTAGAGTTCTGGAATATGACCCTTAAACTCAAGACTAATTCGAGTCGAAGTCTTTTAACACTAGGAAGCTTATAAGATTTATAGGACTTATAGAACTAAAACGACTGACGCCTTATAGCCTCGGGAGTCGCGAGTCATGAGCCGTATGTCGTGATTTTATTTCTACCCACAAGATATTTATTTTACGATTGATGGATAACGTTAACGTAGCTTTGTTCACAGAAGTCGGTTAATTATAACTAATTAAATAAACGTGATTATTTACTACATACTACGTCATTTTTATTTATAAACTTCGGGCTTAATAAGACATAAAATAAGTATAAGTCCATTGCAAACAACTCGAGTCGTTTAAGTCATGTAAGTCGTTTCAAATCTTTTAAGTCTAAGTATAAATACTGCGTTTTATTAATAAAAACTCGAAACTCCAGTCTTAATTTTAAGGTCGAGTCCTGAAAGTCTTTATAAAACGCCTTAAGAGACTGAGCCTCTTCATCACTAGTTATATCACAAACCACTCTTGCCATCTCTTTTATTCTAAATACCACTGTTTTGTTTTTAGATGAATTTCAATTCTATTTTCACACATGACTAACAATGTCAATTTTTGAATGGAAATGAAGAGCGTTTATTTTCTGTTTGTGTTAAAACAGGTATATCTACGGTACTACAGAAAGATATTTTACTGTCTCCGTGACCGTACTGTTACCATCCTAGTCTGCCACGCCGAGGTCCCGGGTTCGATTCCCTCTTTATTTATTTATTCCTCTTTGTGTCTTTGGGTGTAATTTATGATTGTCTATTTATTTTTGCGGATTATTACTTACCTGACCTATAAAGCTTACAGTCAAATGTGTGTTTGTTATACAATAATGTCTTCAATACATTAAAATTATATTATCAATAAGGTGGCATCAAATTGCACGACAGATTTAAAGAAAACTGTTCATAATAACAATGCTAGGCTCGGCGTAAACACCTTTTATAAAAGTTCTATTAATAATACGCATGAGTTCGTGTGAGTTTCGATCATAAGGGCCATTCTCATTTGAAGACATCAGAAATATAAATAATAAAATCGGATGAAGAGCTTTTTTAATGTCAACTACAGGTGTATAATTAAATCAATGATTCAGTAGTACAGCCCAACCGATCGGGGATGTAAAATAATTCAAATTACGAAACATTTATTATTTCATATCGTTGAAGATATTTTTAGATGCTAACTGTAGAATGGCCCACACAGTGGGTTGGCACGTCGCCAGCCGCGCGCGCCGTGCTAAATAAACGCACGCATTTTTCAGTTCTTCGTCTCCGAAAACTGGGCTCTACTATCTGTGATGCTCAACACGTAGTACAAATTAGTGAAATTACTATAGTGAACAGTGATATTTTCTTTAGTGCAGTTTAACTTAAGGATTTAGTCTGGACATGTCGCCGAAGTGTCCGGTGCCGCCGTTACAGGACGTCACGCTGTCATTGGTAGCACGGCAACTGATACATGCTCTATCCCGCGTTTCTTCAGAAGATGATGTCGCCCTTCCCTTCGCCATGGTATCCTCCTATTACGAAAGTATGGGGGCCACTAGCGACATCTTCCAAGATCTCCTTAACTTAATACTCGGTTCTGAATATCTGGACCCTTCAGTTCGTTACTACACAATGAGACTCCTCCTCAAAGAAAACGTGAAGAACCTGGCCACAGGGATGTTCCCCTGCCCTTATTACAGAAAAGTTCTGGAGCTCATCGTCGAGCAAGGGCGACATCTGACATCGCTTAATTTAAAAGGCGTGTGGGTGAAGGATGAACACTTGTCGCTGATGTATCATTTGATCAAGAACTTGCCCAATTTAACTGTTTTAAACATACCGTACATAGCCAATGATGAAGTTTTAAAGTACATAGGCGAGTGTAACAAAGTTCTTAAGCTGCTTGACGTTTCTGGTGAAACTGATATTACTGAGATCGGTATAGACGCAATGTTGAGTGGTAATCCGCAGCTCACACAAAGTCTGACGGTTGTAAATATTGGAATGTACGGCGAAGAGAACATTGACCACATTGATGTTGCTTTACTCATCCGGCGACTGCCAAACCTGACCAATCTTGGCAGTTACTCGTTCGTCGGCAAATCTATTTCCCATATATATAACACCGATTGCCCTCCAAACTTCAAGACAAAACTACAATACTTACACGACACTCAAACAACTGTGCGAACTATGAAAGCAATACTCGCGTTATGTCCGGTTCTGGAGACAATTTACTTAGAAGATCCTGAACAGGGCGTGTTGCCACTCTTAAAAGACCTGAGCTACGTAAACAAAATTAAGCTGAACAAATTCCAATGTCACGAATTGCATCAGTTATTGGAAAAAATCGGATACAAGATTGTGACGCTTATGCTTTCGGCCTCCAGGGGTTCTTTCAACTTTACTAGAATAGCCGAGACGTGTAGGAACTTGGAAGTTATAGAGTTTTACTCAATACAGACTGCGACACACGAAGAGGAAATTCCTTTCAATAAATTAGAACACATTGAAATAATCCAAGGCAATCTGTCGGCGAATTTGCTCAAGTACTTGATGACGGGTAGTCCACTGCTCAAGAAGTTGATAATTGGCGACGAAATAAAGTTGGATGATAATGATATGTCACGGTAAGTAGCTACCTACCAACATTACCTATATCCCTATCCTCACGAACGGCCATTTCTGACATTTTTTTATCGTAATTCAGCAAAACATACGATCTTACGCGTAGGTTTAAAAGCGAACATTTGCCAGAAATCATCAGTGTCATGCATTGCAGCTTGGTGTAGTAGAATTGTCTTTTGGTCCAATAATATTTTGGTATGTTGATGATATGATTATTGTCCACTATATTGCCATAGTATCATCATGTATAATAGGACAAATAGTGTAACTCCACACAATCGTATTAACGTATCTTATATGTGTGCACGCTCGCCACGCGCCGTGTAGTAGGTGTTTTAAATACATACATCAAAAGTGTCTAACAAATCAAGGTATTTTTTTTTTAATTTTTCATTAGTATTAAAATTAAATAAAAATATAAATTTATTAAATCGGTGTTAAAAAAAATAATTTAAAATTTGATTTAAAAACCTGACTCTGTGATTGACAAAAACGCAGTTGATCCTAGACATTTTTGGTGAGTGTGTTTTTCTGTGTCAAATTTATAAGTATTCTATGTATAAATTAATCGTTATGTATGTACAAAGTCATTTCTATTTTATGGCCATACTCCCATAACGAAAATACTAATCCACAATGCGGAGGTCCCGGGTTCGATTCCCGGTATGACAAATTTGGGAAAGTAATTTTTCTAAATTATTTCCTGGTCTGGGTGTTCTTGGAAGTGCCCCAGGATTCAGTTTCTCTGGAACTCACTGTTTTTAGACCAGGCAATTGGCCTAATTGAACGGCACATATTAAAAAAATATCAATATGTAAGTGTAAGTACTGCATTTGGTATTACATATTGAAATAACATTACAAACGTTATTTCAATATAGCACGGCAATATCTTTTTTTTTTCAATTGTTTTTTGCAACCAAAATAATAACGTGACAGCCCTACACGTAGTCATTGACGTGCCGAACAAGCGGAAGTTATATTAAGTATTTATCTTGTTATATTAGAATATTGCTTTGTAATAAAACCCCTGTAATTACGTTTACAGAATGTTCCGCCGCTACAAATTTGAGCATCTCGAAAGCGTTTGGTTCCCGAACGCACCCCGCCTCTCACGTGACAGTGTGGAATTGTTCATGGAGTGTTGTCCAAAACTCCAGAGCCTCGGCCAACTGAGCGGCTGGAGATTCACGCCTGACGATATGATGTTGATGAGAGCTATTATAGCCAGCACTAATACTGATCTCGTATTGTCACCGCTGGGTATATTTCAACAGGGGAATTAGAAGTTACGGGCATTTAATACGTGCTAAGGTCTACTTCTTTACTACGCACAGGACTGGATTTGTCAATAGGCCCACTAAGCCCCGGCCTAAAGGCGCAAAAAATAAAATATTTTAAAAACTTTCTTGGGTCTGTAGGGTTACCATTCCGAAACTTTAATAGTCCCAGACAAAAAGTCTGATATTTACAAGAAACTCTAGACTTAACAAAATAAAATCGAGAGTCTGTCTGACACACGGTAGCAGAGACGGGCATATCCAGGGCAACGAAAGTTTTTGTCGTAAATTGAGTTTTATTCAAATTCATTTATATTATTACAAAATGCTTGCATTTGACTACTGTTATTTCCCATTCCCAAACCCGTCTCAAAAAGACCACCAAACCGTCGTGCCGGCGCAGTGTAAGTTTGTAGACAATAAAGCGAGTAAGAATAATTCCTTACTCACTTTCTTATCCCAAGGGATCATACGGATAAATAACAAATCCGAACGTAAAGTCAAACAGTCGAACATGTCCGGACATAGCCTGACGGATGGCAACCCTACTAGCTAACCTAGGGGCGTCAAAACTTCAAATCCAACCCTAAATGTAGAAAAGGTGTAGTCGGTTACAAGAATTAGAACTTTTAGCAAAAGAAATTATTGTACAAGGTTGGAAACTGTACTTTCGCTACCTTTATAGTCGAATTGAAACTGTTTTTCGAATCTAAAATCACATATATTATATGTTTTTTTTTTTTCAAATAAACCACCGTTTCGGGCTCTTTACATGCCCTATGATCATTAGAGATGGGAAAAACTGCTTATTTTTTTAAACGTTTAAACGTTATGCTTTTTTAAAAAGCGTGCTTTTTAAACGCTGTTTAGTTTGAAGCTAACAAAAACGTTTAAGCGCATGACTTTGTGTTAAATAAAGCTTGCAACGTTGTTATGTTGATGGCGAAACGCAAGAGTAGACCACTAAAGGTTTTATGATAAGTAAGTTTTTTTTGTAAAAAAACGAGTTATATTTTTATTTATGACATAACATTATTATATTAGCATTTTGTTCATTGGCGTTTAAAAACATAAGTTGTTTAACTTTTGTAGTTGTTAACCGTTGAAATGGAAAAAACTGCTTATTTTATTAACGTTAAAACATACGTTTATAAAGCGTGCTTGTAAAAGCGCTTTTCACACGCTTTTTAGTTTAACACTTAAAAAGTCGTTTAAACAAACGTTTAAGCGCATAGACTTTATATTTGAAAAAGCTTGCAACGTTATGTTGAATTACTTTGTTTAGGAAACCTAGATGGCGCTACTTGAAACTTAGGCACGTTGTAAACAATGAAATTATTGAGTATCTATAGACCTGACCAGTGACCAAAGCTTACGCTTAAAATGAAAACGTGCTTATGCGCTTATTTTAAAAAGCAGACTTTTTAAGTGCTTTTCGTTTAACCACTCACCTCTAATGGTCATGGCTAAATTAGCAAGCACTAAGTGAAGGCGCTTGGCCATGTTACCACCCGGGTGAAATCAATACCCTGGCGCCCTCTAGTAGGCAAGCAATCAAAATGGAATACTTGCATTGTGTTCCCCAGTGCAGTGATCGGAAATTCGGGTGCAAACGGTGCAATTTTATATGATGTTGGTAAACAATAACCCGTTTACTTCCCTTGCGCCGCCGCCGGGAGCGACGTAAGTTCTTTGGACGCTCGGCCCCCCCTAAAGGCAAGAGGCAGTCCGAGCGCGCCCGTGCTCTCAGGAGAGCACGGGCGTCACAGATATCGAAAAATTCTGACACAGGTGTCAGAATTTTTCGATATTTAAACCGAATCGTTCGATTGGATGTTGTTCTCGAATCGAAGGGCGCTTTCCGACATTCCGAGTTAAACGCTCGATTCTGGGGGTCTACTCTCGATCTCCGTCCGAAACAATTACTGCCAAATAAGCAATACTTGACCGAATGAAAAGACGCGTGATGCGAATGAAGCTTCATACTGGATACTTGTCTTTTAATTATGTCGAATATTACTTATTTGACTGTAATTATTTGGGACGGATGTCTCGGACGGGGATCGAGAGTAGCCCCCATGATATCGTTATCCAACAACGTTTACGGAGTTAGTCGGTGAAATAGATTATAAGAAAAATGAAAATATATATATGTATGTATGCAAGATAATGCATTCCTATATTATAGGCCCTAAAATATAGGAATGCATTATCTTGCATTAAAATACACTAATAAAACTGAACAAAATCCAGACTTTATTTAAAATAATAAGATATTTCCATATTACAGTCTTGGGGTGTAAACAATAGGACGATCGCTAACTTTCATTTGACAAATGTGTTCTGAATAACGTTTGTAGCCTTTGCCGATTGAGAAGTTGGAGTAATCGTACGGGTGTGACATCATTCCGGTTCGGTTTCGAATACGACAGTTTGACGTTCGATTCGGGTGTTGTTAATAAAAATGAAAAGAAATTGTGCGATATCTAATCGAATCGGTCGCGTACTGACTTATCGTGAGATTCTGAATCGACCCCCATATCCGCTGCTGGTCGGTAATTTCAAAGCTATGCTCTCCATATAAACCCGAGTACGCACCGCAACGCGTGTACAAATCGGCGTGTTTGACATCACTGGCCGTGGGAACGCACCCTAAGACCCTGCACCATAGGTAAAGCCGACACTGTCAGCACGGGCCCCGAAAAATAGTTTCATTTTCCAATGTGTATCTAATAAATAAGAGCTCAATACTACTTTATACTTAACACGAAGGCAGATAAAGTGATTTGAATAGTTTTAGGTGCATTTGAACCAAAGATCAATGAACATTTATATTACTTTTCTTATAAACTCAATAAACCTATCAACCTATACATATAAGACTTTTATAAAAGTGTACTTCTAGTCAATCATTAACTAAACTTAATAATGATGCTTTAATTAAACTACGAGAGCGGTTTGGTAAGTCCGTGACTTTCAGAAAAAACAAACTTTTTTTAAATTATGGTATTTTGTTCTACGTAATCTCCTCTTTGACCAGCGATATTCCAACTTCTTCAACCAATCAAAAAATATTTTGTGTCAAACTGAAAAATAGGCCTTATTTCTAACCACACCTAACGTTTTTTATTATTTGTTTTTTTTTCGCGCTAATCTTTAAAAAGGAAGGTCAGTTGCATAGGGAGCATTCATTATCCTGCATTGCAGTCTGGCTTGCCGTCCGCTGAGTAATGCAGAATTATAAATGTAATCGCCGCGTGCAAGCCATCCTGCAATGCGTTCTGCGAAACTCCTAGCTGCGTAGGCCGTGCGCAAGGTAGTGTGTAAGCAGTCTCCTGCTTGTCCGGCGGACTGCCATGCAGGTAGTGAATGGGCCAATTTAGCTCAAGGAGTTTCTTTTTCTTTCTTTCTTGGCTTTTCACGGCTCCGGTGGCAGCCACTTACAAAGTGTTTAGACTTGTTTTTAAAACGGGTAAACATTTTTATACAGTAATGAAATTTGGAAACGGGACTAGGAAGGTGGAGAAAGAGTGAAAAAGGGATCAGGTTAGGATCTAGTTCTAACTGAAATTTAAAAAAATAATCCGAAAAAGGTTTTATTTAACCTTATAGTCACGTATTTCTCAAACCGCCCCCTGCCCTGCTTGCTCACGTACGAATTACTACGTTGTTGAAATTTTTAAGTAAGTACTGAATTTTACGCTTCAATGTATATTAATAATAAAAGAAAAGAATTAAACAAAATCCTATTTACTATTACATTTATTTTATTGTCATCGATGTGAAAAACAAATGCAACATTACATTATTACGAAATTTAACATATAATCATGAAATTAGTTATAAAACAAACTACACAATTATATAATCTTTACAAAGTAAACATTCATTCGAATTTTCACACTTATGTAAATACGTAAACAATAGGTACCTAAAATACAACCTCTTTTTGGTTAGGTACTTAGTAAAATCAACTTTATTTACACTATAGTAAAACTTGAGTAGGTAAAACTTCTACTTTAGATTTTGAATAAACCCCGTCTGACGAAACCTTCTGAGATTGAAAAAAGGTTGACATCTTCCTGTTTTTTTCATTATTTTAGCTGGTACAACCGGTACGAAAAGTGCTTTATGTAATAATTATGTCGAGAAATGTTCGTAAATGGTTCTTTAATATTTCTTTGAAATTACAACATTTTCCATAAAACTTTACTCCAATATGCCTCGGGCCAAATGTAAATTATGACCAGCCGTTGGGACTTGATATACATAGTAGGTACAAAGCTTTATCAGCAAACCGTATGATCAACGAGTTTTTTAGCTTTCAGGGCCAGTCTACTAACAAATTGCTCAATATCGGTAAAATATTCTTCAGTATGTTTATAAATCGATAATTATAAACATCACGAGTATTAAATTCCGATACATCCTTAACCAATAACCTAACAACATTTAATAGGTATGCACCGTCGTGCATATTTAAGGTACAATTTCTATTGATCTAAAGTGTATGGTTAGGATCCCTCTGTTGCTTCGGCGACACGTTTTCTTGGTCCTCATTTGGTGGCAAAGTCCTCCTCTTCATTCTCATTCTGTACATTTTACTTTCGTCTGCACATTTTGTTGTGATTACCGTTCTGAAAATAAAAAATAAATAAACTTAAAAACCTAGGCAAGAACTTTGCTTTCCACTGTCCCAAAAATAATTTTTTGTCGATCTAGAAAGCAATTTGTGAAATAGGTAACTGCGAGGGATGTTTCAATGCTTGGGAAATTAATGTCAAACGCTTGCAAATACATAGACCCTTAGTGTAATAACGACGCATTTGCAAAATGACACCTTTCCACAAAATTATCTTCTTCTGCCCTTCAATTGACCACGATACTTTCATATCTGAATTCCTGTCAATCAATGTCTCATTCCCCGCCTCCATAACAATTTAATTTTATTCATGTAACAAAGATATATGTATATCATGTACTAACCTCATTTATCGAAAATAATAATGTCGAGCTTTAATATTTAAGCCGATATATACCTTAATAGCTACTCACCACCGAACCTATATCATTTTTCATTCAAATCTCGTACCTTTTCCATAATCTGTAATTCTGCTTTCCCAACCTTTTCATTGGCTAAATTTTTTTTCAATTCTAATGTAAGTGTGCATTTGACCTCCATCTCACCTGATGGAAAGTGACGATGAGGTCGACTATAGAGAATGCACACCTAGATAATGACTATTCACTCTCGCCTTGAAAAGGTCCAAGTTATAACGTTCAGGGAACATGTCTGCAGGCAGGGAATTCCACTCCATAGCCGTTCGCCATATAAATGTGGAAGCGTAACGTTTCGTGCGAATCTTTGGAATATCCACAACATAGGGGTGGAACCCAAGTCTACGCCTAGTCCCCCGGTGATGGAAAGGGGAATCAAATCATGCAATTCCAACAGATACGCAAAATCTTAAATTAAATTTGTATTTGTGTAGATCGACGTAATGTAACCTAGTGAGTAAGGCTATTGAAAATATGATTTCGTTAACGCAAGTTTCTATAACGGCGTTGATACGTAGGCTAAAAGGTCGGGTGGAAGCCAAGCCTACGCCTGGTCCACCGATGATGGAAAGTGGAAGGCGGAACTAAATCGTGTAATTCCGTCGCACACTCTCCGTGTTATAACCTGTAAAATACCGACAAGCAGGCTTTACAGTGGCGTTCAAGGCTCTGCAGCTTCCGAGTCACCTATAAGCCTCTGGCACGCTTATCAATTGAATCCAAGGCGGCCAGTTGATACAGCTGAAGCAACTGTCCCGGTGTGAAGTAATGCCTCACCCTGGAAAGGATGCCAAGCTTCCTAGCTCCTTTTTGGGCCGTGGATTCAATGTATATACCGAAGTTCAGATTGGACGACAGGTCCATTCCAAGTAACTGGAGACGGTCGGCTATCGGCATGGATATATCACGAAAAGTCGGAGTCAGCTCAAAGGGATTCCGTTTAGTGGAGAATAGACATGCCTGCGTTTTGATAGCGTTAAATTGACAAGATTGGTCGCCCCAATCGGAGACTGCCTTGAGCGTCAAATCTAAACGGCTAACCATGGACTCTCGACAAGACTGGATTTCCTCTCCACTGACCTTTGCATTGGTCCAGTACCTCTATCTACAACTGTGCTGTCATCAGCATACGCAAAGGCACCTGGAATTAACATATCATTGATATGCAGCAGAAAGAGAGTTGCAGACAGTACGGAACCCTGAGGAACTCCAGCATTTATCGCCATATGTTCGTTATATAAATGCGAAGGCAAAGCCGTTACTAATAAAAAAAAATTGTTCCTTCTTGTGACCGCTAGGGGCGCTGTATAATTTGCTGTACAAAATCGTGAAGTAATTTACGCGATCGATAGCGATAACTGTCATAGTAAACTTGTTTAAAGATTCTAGAAACGAAATTAGTCGCTAACTTTTTATGTTATACAATTTCACATACTTATACATAATTTGTTGCATGTAAATTTTTTTTTTAATATATTTCTAGTTCGTATTGCTTTTATGATTTTCATGTTATAAAGGCACTTTTGGCATAATCTTTAATTATACAAAGAGTAGGGACGAATTTCCAATGTTTTCTTTATTACCAATATTAAATTTGTCACCATTGTAAATTGTACTTTATATTAATACAAAGATCGAACACATAGAAAAAAATCCTTCGACACGGTGGGAGTTGAACCCAAGACTATGCTGCACCGTAGTGTTGTTCTTAGCAACTGAGCCACAGGACAAGTTACCGAGTTGTCGATATTCTCCTGTTGTGTTTTTGTTAAAGACCTTTGTACTGGCTTTCGGCATTCGTCACCGCTAGTGACATCGAGTGAGAGATTTTTGAAACCTCTCAAAAAATTTTAATGCAATTTCATAGTCTTCCTTTTAAGATGCTGTTATTTAAAATAAAACGAATTGAAGCTTTCGTAGTAAAATTACAGGCGGTTTTTTTACATTTCGCGGGCTCGATTCCCGGTTCAGACAGGCGATTATTTAAAAATCTTTGAATGCAATTCGAATTGTTTTTAAAATCAAAATGAAGTCTTCTTTCACTGAATTTTTCTATCTACGGTATTTTGTACTTTCCATCCCTGTGGCATAGCTGTGGGACATCCTGTATAAAACCTTATGTAATCATATGTCAAAAGTGCTTTTGTTATGTGAAATTTCGAGGCAAGTTCTTTTTCATATCGTGAAAAATTTTTAGGAACCGCCTCAAATTTATTATATATTTTTTCCGAATTCATCACTTTCACTTTTATACGGAATCAACCAACGCTATTTCAGGTTGTATCAACTTCTCAGCACAAAAAAGTAATCGACTATATTCATTCGTATAATATTTAGATAAACCTCTTTCCAGAAAAATTATCATTTTGCAAATATGGTCTTATTGCACCATAGATTTTTCTAGATCCTTGACCGAAACTCAGTAGGAGCTTATACTTAATCCCAAGTAAACAAAAAAATAGAATAACTACAAACACGATGCTAAATCTTACCTGACAAGGTTGTCTTTCACGTGAAATCTGTCCGCCACTTCAATGACGATATCAGATACTATTTTCGGGTTGAGGAGCATTTTCGCTGGTTTGTTCATGAACGCTGGGGAAGGCTTTCCTGTTAGGGAGTGTGTAGCTAAGACCCTAGAAAAACAATTGACACACGATTATTTGTGAAACCTTTAAGACTACCCTAAAGACCGTGGAATATAATTTATGTCTTCAGGCTTTTCTTTGCGGGAATCCATGTTTATACGCTCGGTCGAAGACAACCGTCGAACAATCAACGTCTCCTAAAGATGCCTCGCAGAGAGGCGAAACCGATATGGTATATTTTTGGAAGTAGTGTTTGAGACTCTAAAGTTGCGCAGCTACTTGAGCTAGTGTTATTTATTTTATTAATTGTCATGCGGAAGGAGGTTGGGAAAATTAACTTCATGAAAAAAAAATCAGTACAAGCTCTTCGCGGAGTAGTAGATTTGGTATGGCGTGACTGGCTGGTATCTGCAACCCGACGACTTGGCACCTATTTTGTGCCGTGGGCGTGTTATTCCCACTAGTTCCATGCATGGAACTTTTGGGTTACAATTGTTCCATGTGGAACTGGGTACATGGAACTACTGGGAATAAACCGGTGGGTGCAGAGTCCGACTCGTGCCATCCAAGCTCTTCCAGGAATCCGAGCATCCTCCTAGGCCTGCTGAAGACTTCGGAGAACAACCGCGGCCATTTATATTACCGTGCAATATGCCACATTCTGACATAAAAGAAGGATTCATTTCGAAAGCTATTAGCACATAATTTTAAGCTTTGTAAGAGAATAGGTAATTAAGTGTCGTCGAATGGAAATACAGAAAGTTCATTTATCTCAGAAACAACAAGAATAGAAGCCGGATGTCTACTCAACCTTTGCTTTCAAATGTCATTGTGTGTGAATTAACGGAATAAACATTGCGAATCTTTTATTCTTTCGAATTTTAAAATATACGATACACACACATACTTGACATTCAATTACGTACGTTGGAAGATATACTGCGTATATACAAAACAAGTCTCCTGAGTCAAAGGTATATTGGAAAAGGCTGCATGTTTAGTTAGAAACCAAACAGTTTTATGGATGTGGGAAAACCTGCCGCAGTCAGGTAAGTAACGCCGTACATCCGTTATCCAAAGCAACTTTGAGCATAGATATGTAGTTTCTTTCTTTTATAAGTATATTAGTTATTGTGGTAAGTAGTAGGTTACAGTCGTGCAGAAGCTAATGTTATTTGAATAAATATTTTATGGTATTTACATACAGAGTACATATTAATTAATTATGAATATGATATGTAAAGCATCTCATATTTTATTATTTATTTATTATGTGACACAATAATTATATTATTTTTTATATTTGACTGCGAGTATAAAAATTTTAGTGTTTCGTGAGTGGTGTTTGATAGGTACGCCTAGCTATGATGCACTCCGTGGACTCCACGTAATACAGCGCCCTGGCTGTTCTCAGCCACGGCATATATGCTGAATGATGGCCATTTTCTAATTACAACTTAAAATCAATGCTACTATATTTCTTTCTTTCATTTTCCTCTATATTTTCGTCATGATTACTTACTTTCTTGGAAATACTGCCATCAGCAAAGTTCTTGTAGCTACGGTGTATGTTTTCCAATTCACACTTCTGTATTGATCTCTGTGTATTAGTGTCTGTCCACTTCCTATTGGTATCTGTAACAGTAACATCTAATAATGATGTACACACATTTACGTGCTTTATACAATAATTACTAAAAGGTGGCCGGCCGGCACCGGCTGGTTGCGGGCGGCACAGGACCGGGTGAGTCGACGTGCTCAAGGGAAGCCCTATTTCCAGTAGTGGGTCCGTGTGAGATGATGATGAAGCAGTAATTATTTAGATTATCTACTGTTTTTTAGACATAACATGGTTTCGCTTATCACGACAACCAGACTGTTTAGTCAAGATGTAGTCGACTATGACGTAGGCAACCAATTCAATTCCTTACTTTTACATTCCTGCTTTTGAAGAGTATAGTTACTGATGAAATTACAGACACATGGGACTTGTCAGCTTTATGTCGTAGAGTGACCGGTGCAGTGCCTCTCAACTCTCAGCGATTTAAAGATCTGAGTGGCATTGCAAGTGTTATGGAATGGACAGGTTTGTCACTTACCACCAGGCGCACGACTTGTTCAACCCGGCATTTCAAATCATAAAATAAAGCTGTACTTTAGTTTCGAATTGTTCTATTAGTTGGTGTTAGTAACCTTTATTTATACCACATAGCACAGCAGAGTCATAAAATTCGGCCAAGAGTTAAAAAATTTGAACTTACCCACTCATCCTTTTGGTCTAAAGCTTTTTTCTGTTTTGTAATTTTCTGTTCTTCTGTAAGTACTTTCTTACTGGTTATTACTCTAGAAGTATTGTATTTGTTCGTAATTAATACATTATCTTCTGATCGGCGTGAATCGTCACTATGAAACAAGTATTCGTCGTCATTGTCATCGTTCTGGACATCCATTTCATTGTTTACTACATTGTTTAATTCGGCTTTTTCGACTTTAACAATCCTGGGCGTTACTTTTTGTGAATTGTTAGGAGATAGTTTATGTAGACCGGGTTTCGTGACATTATTCATTGTAATTTTATTGTTTGTATTAGTAACATTGGTGCTGTTATCCAGCAAAGCCACTTTCATGGCTTTTAAAGCTCTAAAAAGCTTTTTAAATCTGTTATCTATGTCAATCATTTCTTTCTTAGAGAAAAATGTTGAAGTAGGTAAAGGGCTATTGTTCTTTCTTGTAGAATCTGGTAGAGATTTTTTGTCATTTTTACTAATAGCGTTCAGACTTTTCCGCGTTTCCATAGTTCTTTTACGATTATTGAGTATGATTTTGTTAATAGCATCGGCTCTGTGACTCGGTTTAAGAATTTTACTGCAACGTCTATTACCGTACGCTCTTTTGTATCTGTCCATTTTTGATCTCTTGCTTTCTACCTGAAAATTTGAAATACATGTTATTGCACGTTAAAAATGTTTTATTACCTCCAAATTACGACAACTGATTCAGTCGGAATGTAAACTTTTTACCATTGGCTTACAAATAAATGGACGACGGGTCTAATACAAAAACCACCCACAACCTATTTAAACGTAGTGACATGTAAAGGAATATGAAAAAGCTAAAACGTTGAATTTAAATTGTAATGTCATCGCAGTACTGTCTAATTTTGCTTGCTTCGCTGTCAGTCGAACAAACGAAGACTAAAGCGTGAATGACGCTCTGTATACGATTTTAACGCTATAACTATAAGTTCGGACACTTTTTAGCGCGGACCCGACGTCCATATAATTGTAAGTCAATGCTTTTTACGGTTGTTTAAAACAATTATGTTGTCTCAAGGTACATAAAGACTTTGCTCTACCTGATTTGATGTTATAACAACATAACTTATGCAGGCAATAAATTAGAGAATAATCTTATTGTTTCTGTAAGTGTTTTTATTATTAGTTATTATGCTCGGAGTCACGATAATACAATAATAAAGCACTACTAAATGATTGGTAGGGGCAGTCAAGATAGAAAGATCTCAATATCAAGTTAGTATACCTCTTCATCGTCGTCATCTTCTGAGGACTCTTGTTCAGCACCACTGGGGGCCCAGTCATCAGAGCCACTAGCGGAAAAATCACCGGGCTCCTCGGTCGGTCCCGAACCAGGTTCGCCACTGGGCCCGGCCTGTGGTGCATCGTCATACACTCTCGGAGTTACCTGTTGCTCTAGAATATCGCGATCACCTGCATGATATGAAAACCACATGTAAGTAGGTATAATGGACCACGCCTATATAGGTAACTATGTGTAAAAAGGCTGTTATAATTAGCTAATTATATTATTATATTATTAACTGAAACGTGTGTCACTGTTAGCAGGCAACTGAACTAAGTACGTACCTAAAAAAAAAAACAAATATACAAAATGTCTCCGGCATTGCACTGATAGTGCAAGTACCTAACATAAAGGCGCGACCATATTATGAACCAGGCGTTTTACAATATAGTAACCCGGTAGAGCTACAAAATAAAGCTACAAAACTTTAATTTCTTACACGCAAATTTGAGCGCTATATAAATGGAGTAAGGTATAGTTTTAAAACAGGTAGGTATCTAACGTAACAAGCCTAATTTTATGGTTTATAATATTAGTTAAATATATGTTTTGTTTTATTCAATTTAAACTTGAGATATGATGACACTTCGGGATCACCCATTTATTAAAATGCAGTAGAAAATACCACGTAGCAAATAGCAACGCGAGCTCTGTTGATGTCATGTCGTTACGGTACATCGAACTTGTAACGTGTCATTTTATCGCGCCAACTGCTTCTTTAATGAAGTCGGTTAAAAACAGCTGCTAGAGTTATAGAACTTGCTTAGTATTTTTCTTTATGTAAAAATTACTTTACGGAAAATGTATGTTTTACAGTATGCTTTAGGAAAGGGAATTTAATAAACCTTGAGTCACAAATGGTTCTACCATACTAAACCAATTAAATAAATGTATACTTACGAGAATTGCCAATAATCGTCCCCGGTTTCCTGTCTCCTTCTGGCCCAGGGATGGTGACTACAGTACCCACTTTAGGCTCCCTTTGCAGTCCCACCACCTTCGAATTGACCACGGCACGTCCACCACTGTTCCACTGCACAAGTAACCACTTATCTATCTTTCGAGTAGTCGACATATTTAAAAAAAATATTATTAATTGTTAAAAAAAAATCTGTAATAATGTAAGTAGATAGTCTCGAGTTGTACCCGTGAGAACTCAAGGTGCAATGCGCCAGGTAAAAGTTTCATTACGCACCCTTGTAAGCAATGCATCCCCCGCCCTTCCCTTCAATTTCTAACAATAAGTTTTCGCCAACGGCTCGGGTATTTGGGACCCACAAAAAATGCACCTTTTTGCTCACCGTTTCCTAGTAAGTTTCTAAGTAGAGATTTATAATGGGTATTCCCTTTGTGCAAGTTCCGAGTTCCGACCCCTCATTGTCTTATTCAAAGACAGATGCCATAAAACTTTTGTACGTATATAAAGTCCCCTTTTGCTTTTTCAAAGTCATTCTGATTTCGTACTTAGGTACTTTGTTAAGAAAATTGTATTAGATTACGTTAATAGTTAATTCTTATAATATGCTATTCTATATATTGGTATTTCGCGTAATATTATGCCTTTAGTTAGTAAAATTTCCATCCTTATCCTAGTTAAAGATTCGCGTAGTATGCGATACGTGAACCTCAATGGTCTCATAGTATGAGAAGAAATCTTGATAGTTTTATAGTGGACTTCTACTACTTGGCCAATAAGAAGTTAAGGTTGAACAAAATTAAGAAATCTTTTCAAAGTTTTGAAGACTTTGAAGTCTATGAAAAAATAATGTAAGTAGTTATTTTTATTGTCGTTAGTCTTTTTAATGCGTCAAGTAGGTACCCTCACTTAACTTAAGGTGAGAATGTGATTAAAGACGTGCTGGTGTTCACACGTCTAGCGTCAAAGTGACAACTTTATACTAGGGGTCGTATTGTAGAACTCTACTCAATGCTCAAGTCAGGATTTAAGTATGGTTTAAAGCACTTGATATCATACTCAAGTCCCTGCCATTAGGGTCGTATTTCCAGTGCTTGTGTTGCCAGTGCAATCCTGACTTGAGCATTGAATAGAGTTCTAGAATACGACCCTTAGTATATAATAATACTTTAGCAGAACTCCAATTAGGTACGTAAACAAGCACATTAGGGTTAGGAAAAGCATAATTAAGTTAAGAACGCCTGCAACAAGAAATTGATAAAAACTCTTTGAAGACATGAAGTCCCAACGCATATTGGACAACGGTTTTGATCATAGGCGTATGTTATTATAATACACTCTGCCACAAGGAAAAGTTTTCCTTTCCAACTCAATATTAAAAAAACACCAACGTTTTATGTGGCCCACTGTACACTTTGGCCAGTAGAGACCCATGCCTACCTAGAGGAACATAGTTGGTTTATACTGGTTTATATACCTCGTCGTAATGCGACAAAGTATGCGGTTGACAGTGCGTTAGCGGGCGCATTTATCCTTAGAGGATGGAAAAAAAATAGTCTAAGCATTTATCCGACACGAATTTCGCTACGCGGCGACTGCGTGCGTCTGTCATGGCAAAATACGCTCTATTTAGCTTTTACGTTTTGACTCATTTAGACAGGAACGCTCATTTAGAGCGTTCGGACACGCGGGCGAGACTGGCTTGAACTTGGTTTACGTGGCGGCCGCGCGGCGACCGCGCGGTTGTATTATTCAGAGGAATTTAAATGTTGTTGCCTAGTAAATAGAATTCAGATTCGTCATTAATAATACATGAAGGCGTGCCAGCTGGGCGGTCGCCACGCGGCGGCCGCGCGAATACTTTCTCCTCGTGTAACTGGCCGCTTACTATTTAAAGAAGGCAGAAAATAAACGTTTTAGTTTTCATAAGACTTACAAACATGTCTTATTGCTTTGTAGCCATTTTGTAGCGTATATTACTTACCTGGCGTTGACATAGATTAATGAGTTCGTTTTGAAAATTTGAAATTTTAATTTTTTATTAACACGAATCTTCGCTTTCGTAGCATTGAACTATTTTAGTGGCTAAAAATAATTAAATTTATAAAAAAATCGATACAATCAAGTATTCAGTAATATATATATATATATATATATAATACAAACAAATGCGATTACTATAAATTTCGCATTGTGTGTAGACGTACATTTAATTATAATAATATGCAAAAGCAGTGCATGGTTTGATTGCAGTTTTCAGTGTTTAGAAGTTTTTATTACGAAACGAAGCAGCTCTGAATCTGTCATTTTTGACAGATATTTATATATAGTAGTATCTCTTATTAGTTTGTGGATATAGTGGTCTGTGGTTCTAATTTAGGTTTGGATTATACGCGTTTTGGGTTATGTTTTATCTTGTTTGTCGTTGACTGAAACTGATTATAATTATTTTTTGTTAAAATAATATAATATGGAAGCAAAAACTTTACAGAAAAAGAAGCTAAACAAAACCAAACTTAAGAAAACTATCAAAAATGTTCTTTGTCGTCCGGACCCCGTATTTTGGTAAATTTTTACTTAAAATCCGTCTTTACCCCGTATTTTATAAAGTAGGAGAAGTAGATCCGTTGACATAATTACAATACTAATATTAGTTTTCTGTATTAATTTGCTAATCATTATGTTTGTTTGATATACTTTCCTGCACTTGGAATAACGTAGTGAGTTTCGCAAATTCTCGGCTTTTGGAAGGGCTCTATAGCAGAAAACTATTGTTAACTGCTGTTCCGATGTTGAACAAATTAGTGTGTCAACTAATAGAAATAGTAGATATCATAAAATCTGTTACTGTGTTTTTTTCAGGCCCTTATTATCAAATGACGAGAAAGAATCATTAGATAGCACATTGAGTAAATTTAAAATCCACATACCAGAGTTCACAAAGCCTCTCTGGAAGGATTTGAAATCAATACCTAAACAGCAAAGACCAAAACATCCTAAAATAGAGTAAGTAATACTGCCGTACATTCTTTTCTTAATCTTGTTCTCATAGGTTCTATGTTATTACTATTTTATATTATTTTACATGTTTATTATCTTTACTTAATGTTTCAATTGATCACCAATACTTGAATCCAGTGTCGTGAAGTAAATAAAAAAAATTAAACCAGCATAAAAATAAGCTGAAATCTCAACAACATAGGAATGGGTAATATAGCTTTTTCTGAATATCGTATCGAAACTATATATCAATATTCGAAATCGGAATTCGAAACTATATATTCATGGATACAGCACACGTGTGCACTGCGTTGATACATTGCTGTTACTGATATGCAAAATCAGATTTCGAAACTATATATTATTGGATATAGTTCTACAAGAGTAATGCGGGCCAATGTTAGTATACAGTTTCGAAGACGCACAAAAACCAGTTTCGCATTGATATCCACTGAATATATAGTGAAAATCTGATACGCAGCAATATCGATATATAGTTTCTAAGATATACAATACCGGATTTTCGATATTGCCACAATATACAGTTTCAATAACTATATACGATTTATCGAGTTCTTAGGTTTTTGCAATGTTACACATAGGAAAAGAAACTATTTTTCCGCATTTAAATCGCGTATATTTGTTTTTTCAAACAAAGCAACTTTTGTTTTTCAGACAAATATACGCAATTTAAATCCGGAAAAATGGTTTAATTTCCTATATATGTATTGGATTTGTAACGCCCATTCCTACAACAACAACAATTAACACTTTCTCTAAGTTAATGATTGCAATTTTTCACCAGATTTCTTTTTACTTTAAGTTATTTGTATTTATAAAATATATGATTATTTTTTTGTATTATTTTCTTAATTTTGAATAATTTGGTGTTAAAAACGCAAAATCGATAAAATTCTAATTAACACAGTGTTAATTGCCTGTGTCAATCTGTAAAAATATTTTTTTTTTATAATCTGTATTTCTCATTTGTAAGGCAGATTCCACTAAAAAGAATGAGCAAGAAACTCTAGGGTTTGCTCTTTGCAAATGTATATACATTTGAATACATTTGTGTTTACAATATTTATTTCAAACATCTTAGATAGAGACAAGAGCTAAACGGTTCACTACCAAGTAAACAAACTTTTAGAATAAATTTCTTCTCTCTCATGAATCTATGAAATTATTTTCTCTTTCTCCAGCTGTTTTTATTTAAACAAGGGTTTTTAAATTGCAGTTGGAGAGGAGCAAAATGAAACATAAAAATATAATCTTTTGTTTAATTTGAACTTTTAGTTCAAAGTTTTAGTAGTAAAATCTCTGTACTTATATGCATAGTTTTTTTTTTTTTTTTTCAGGCGAATAGAAGGCTTAGTATTTGGCATATCAGAGTGTCTCACATTAATAAAAAGTAAACAGTCTTCAGCAATAGTAATAGAATCGGCTGTTAACCCTCGAATGATAATCCAACCAATTTTAGAAGCTTGCATCAATAATCAAGTACCTGTAGTTTGTTTGGAAGGGTTGAGAAAGACTTGTTTATCAAATTTTGGCATCCCTACCACTTGCTTGGGCGTGCGAAAAGATTCCTTGAAAGAAATTAGTGACAAGGTCAATGAACTTGCCAAAGATAAAATTCCTTTAGTACAAACAAAGGAAGCTAAAAATGAAGACGTAGTACTGTCAAACTCTAAGACAGCCAGCACTATGGATGTTGCAGATTCCTCACAATGCGTATATCTGTATAGAACTAATAAAAAGACCAGAGTATTTGTGCCACCTTCTGAAGGAGATATCAAGAAATCAAAGCTCAAATTCATTGGTCAAGATTTCATAGAATTTTCTGACAAAACTAATAAACCAATTAGTAAATCTGACAAGAAGGCTTACATGAAAATGCTTGTAAAACGAATATCAAATAACCCTAATAGAGTGAAAGTGAAATAAAATATTTACAAATACTTTGTTTATTTCTGAGTCAACAATCCCCTCAACAACGAAATTCCATCACACTGTTATTGCAAATTAAAGTTGGTTTGCATTTCATAAGTTCTGATATTTCTGTAAAAAAATTCTGAAAGAATGGTCAAATATGACTCAGTTCCGGCGCAAAAGAAACTATCTCAGAATTTTACTTATATTAGGTAAGTAAATTCTGTATAGTTTTAGTTTTCGATAGGTATCAGTGTCTTGTCAATATTGCCTTTTCTTTTTGCTCAGGCGCAATAGAGTTAGGTAATGTATGTTCATGTATAAACAAAAGCCTTCAACAGTTTTTGTTCTCTATTCTTCAAAAAGTAATGTAATGTTTTCATTTCGAATTACAGGTTCTCTTTGATAACACGAGGGCAATGTCACGCGCCTGATAGTCCAGGGTGGACTAGATACTGTGACCCTTTTCCTTTAAGCAATAGTTTAGCTAATTAGCGTCGTAGAGAGCACCTTAATAGATGGCCAAAACCAGTGGCGTAGCGTCAATCTCTGCTACCCGGGGCCAACCTTATATTTGTTGCCCTTTCTATTTTCACGATTACGAAAGGAGTTCGTTCGGGCAGGCTCAGCTCGATTGGGTTTTTGTGTCAGACTGCCGCCGTTGCCACCTTTGTGTGGTTCAAGATGTTGTTTTCTCAAATAGTGGAATTTATTTTCCTAATTTTAAGAAAAATATAATTTTGACTGGTTAGGGCTCGCCGCCGCTCCCATTGCTATACCACCCGAAGCCATAGCTCCCTCTACACCCCCTATACTACGCAACTGGCCAATTTGCGCATGTCTGTTTGTGCAGATCTTCACCACAGACGGCAATTCATTTAGGCGCCGCATGAACGTATGTTTATGTTGGGTACAAGCAACCGACACTTAGAAGCGAATGTGTATGTTCATACAATTAATGTAAAATCACACAGACAGTCGAACACGGCACATCAGACTACACATTTTTGTTCGAAAATCGCAACAAATTGTGTCAGTGCAACGGAACAAGATACGTCAATGTGTGTCGAGTCGAGTGTCAATGAGAGTCGGTATTGTGTAGACTTAATTATGTAAGTGCATTTTAAAGTAAACACAATGATACTGAGAAAAGATATTATTTAATAACTATCAACTATAATGTCAAAAAAAGACATTAATTAATGTTAGGCATTCCTCACATTAAGGAATGTGGTCATATTTTACCAGCAATGTATTCAGCAGGACAATAAAAAGCCCTTTACCTATACATTGAAAAGCTTAGGTACAATCAAATTTTACCAATTTATGATATAAAATATCATTTCTTTTCTCTCTTTCGATTTCGATATTCTATGATATTTACGAAAGTTCATCTCGGTAAATTTTTGATATGCAACAGTTAATTTTGTCACAATTTCATAAAAGTTGTTTGTGGTCTAATATTGACGTGCATTATCTTAAAATTCAAAACATCATTGGTAAAATTTGATAGACTTTTAATCTAAAATAGTTAATGCAATACTCCACGAATATTGATTTATTTACAAATAATAATTCTAAGGAGTAACACATGTAAGTAGATATATTTATCTTACGCTTCAATCGATGCATTGCATTTAGTATGTATACAGTTCAATTTAATAAAAATCAAACAACAAATTGTGTTCAATGTTATATCTATAACAATAATGACTATAAGTCCACATTTTCTGGCCCTTTTTAACGCTAAATACACCAAATAGATACATTGATTTCTTTTATATACATTTATATATAGGGTACTTGACTGTTTTTTTATTACGACAACTCGCATGAACTTACTGGAAATAAATGATAAATTTATTTTTCAATATCTCTTTGTAAATTGCATGTACGCCGTTATTACGATTGTGACATATGAAACAATATATTGCCGTCTCTTTCTAGGCAGGAGTTTTTGATTTCCAACAAATTTCAATCAACTTAAACATATCTTGTTATGCTAACGAAAAGTTTAGGTACTTTTGAAATTACTAGGTATTTAATACTCCGCATGTATCGTCCTACTCCTGACTAGCTGCTATCATTACGACATTAGGCCAATTTTCAGGACAAATTATTTTATTTTCAACTGCACAGCTCGTTGTAATCTGGTTCCATAAATCAATTATATTCCCATTTAAAATATGGTAGACATATAGTGGATAATGTTTGTCTTGGAAGCTGCGTAAGATCGTACGTTTTGCTCAATTATGACAAAAATATCAAATGCGACAGTTATAGAGGACAAGGAAGTTGTAGTTTCCAGTCCTTAAAGGTCGATCATGCATTTTGGCAGCAACAGCACATGCCAGGGTGCGAGCTTTTACATTGCATAATTACATGTACCAGGTGTCTCCACGAGAGGAGCAAACACATATCTTATAAAGAAATGTAAATTTAATTGTGCACATTGCAACCGAGGTGCTGCTGACAGCGTGCCCATGTGGATCGACCCTAACTCTATTATTTAAATTTTGCATTAATGTAGATAGATATAAAAGTAAATATAATATTAATTGTAAGGCTTTTGAATTATAAAATTTTAATATCCAACAACATAATGAAAATATTCAACTTGATACATAGTACCAATAATAAGTTTTAAACCATCAAACAAGTTTGAATTACTTTTTATTGCTGTATTTTATTTACCTAATAAACTTTAATCTATATAATCATGTATTATCATAATATAATAACTGCTATACTTCTTTAGAAGTAATCGTTAACATCCAGACGAATGTATCGCTATATAAATTCACTGGCTAGAATATATAAATACATTATCAACAATAGTGTGCGAGGAACCGAGGTCCTCAAATGTAACAAAATATTTAGGTAATATAGTAGGGTTAGTACAGTATAACAAAAATAACTATACAAATATAAGAATACTTAACGAAAAGAATGAATTTGTACTAGCTCTACTTTTAGTCAGAATAAACTTTATACAGCATGATACACTTCTTGGAAGCGTACAGCGAAACAATAACCCGGAGAATGTACAGTAAACGTATAAATGCTTACACAAATAGTAAACGCGACCGTCCTCGTCGCTTTTCGATACCCATCGAAGTCCGTTACTAGCAGAATTTGGGCGTTTCGATCTCCGCGCATACGACCACTCGGTTCCACTCGGCCCCGGCGCCGGGCCCGCGGTCGAGACTCGGTTGAATGTAAAATCTGGGTTTTCCTCGAAAACCGAGCATAATCCAAAGGGGCCTCGGCCGCCTCAGTGCGGGCGCAGCGGCACGGCCTCGCTGGGGCGGTAGCGCGCCAGAATGATGGCGCACATGCGCTGCGCGTCCACCTCGTCGGGGAAGGCGGCCATGGCCTCGGCCACCTGCGCCTCGGGGAAGATGCCGGCCAGGTGGAAGTGCATGCGGCGGCGCGCCTCCCACAGCTGCAGCGCGCCGTCCGAGGTGCAGGGCGAGCCCAGCGCCGCGCCCGCCCCCGCCCCCGCCCCCGCGCCCGCCTGCGCGGCGCCGCCCGGCGCGG